AGCAGGGGCTGGGTAAAGACCCGAAGGCAGGAACGAACCCAGCGATCAGGAGCTGGAAGGAGGCCAGCAGGGCTGACGCAGAGTGACTGGAGCAGAGATCAGGGATGAAGACGGAAGGCAGGCAGGAGCTAGAGCCCCAGAGCCTGGTGGGCCTCCACAGGGTGTTTAACTTGTGTAACAGGAAGTTACTAGGGAATTTTAAGAGGAGAAACAACGCAATTTGGTTTTGGTTTTTGAAAGGTCAATGGCTACTTTATAGGACTGACTTGGAGGGGAAGTGGGAAAAGTAGGCAGTAGGGGATTGGCTGCTCCAAGAGATTACTGTGGTCTGGGCCGAGGGAGTGGGAGAAGTGGGCGTTAGATGGCTTTCGGAGATGCCATCGGGAGGACTTTGGACTAACTGGGTGACAAGGAAATGAGAATTCAGAGAGACACATTGATTTTTTACTTGAGCAGCTGGTTGGGGTGGGGCCACTTTCTGGCTTGAGAAAGATGGTAGGTAGAACGTGGAAGGACACATTTTGTTCCACCAGGCATGGTGGCAAATGGCTGTAACCCCAGCACTTGAGAGGCTGAGGCAGGAGGATACCCGGGAGTTCAAGGCCAGCCTGAGCTACATAGTGAGTTCATGGTGAACTGCATAGGGAGACCCTGAATCAAAAACAAACAAACAAACAAAAATCTTGTTCCAGTTCGGGTGCTTCTTAGTTATCTCCATGCAGCCTTCCAGGAAGCAATGGACTTTATCAGTGTGGAGTTCAAAGGAGACATTTTTCTTGTTTCCCTGGCTTTATTTACAGTCACAGGCATGATGCCACCTGTGGAAAGTGAACCCGGAGAAGTTTCAAGGATTCGGTAGAGAAAAGGACAGGTAAAGGAAACTGATTAGGAGCAGGCAGGCAGGTAGAAGAGAAACCATGGGACTGATTCCGTGGAGGCTGAGAGAGTAGAATGTTCCGGAAGGGGACCGTAGCCAGCTGGGTTGAATGCTCCTGAGAGAGTGAAGGAAGTGAAGACAGAAACGTATGTGCTGGACTTGGCAGCAGGCAGGGTGTTAGTGAGTGACAAACGGTTTCAGTGGAGTGGGGTAAAGGAAGCCAGGTTGGAATGGGCTGAGGAATGAATGAAAGGTAAGGAAGTAGACACAGCTGGTGCAGACACTTTCCAAGAAGTTTTCCTAGGAACAAGGACAGAAAAATAGGGCAACAGATGAAGAGAGATGTCAGCCTGGGAAGTTGTTTTGCTGTAGCTGCCATTACCTTTAAGATGGGAGACACCGAGCTCGGTCAGAAAGGGGAAGAAGCAGCCGAAGAGCAGTAGAGAGGAAGAATAATTGGAGGATGACATCTTGGGGAAGCAAGGGGGCTCGGGGTCCTGAGTCCAAGTGGAAGACTTGGACTTTGTGGTGATCTTTTTGTTCTGATAGACTGGAGAAGAGGGGACAGGTGGAGATGGATCTGTAGGCTTTACAGTGGCTCCTACTTTCTCAATGAAGGAGGAAGCAAGGTCCTCAGGTGGAAAGACATGAAATGTTTATTCTCAAAAAAGTGAAAAAAGTGAGGCAACCAGAAAATTCCATACTCACACGGCCAGCAGGATCAAGGGCAGAGCCAGAGTTTGTAACTGCAAGTTTAACGGGAACATAGCAACATCCAGCTGGTCAGGGGTGACTTAAAAAAGCTCAAGGGGGCTGGGCATGATGGCGCACACCTGTAATCCCAGCACTCAGGAGGCTGAGGCAGGAGGATCGCTGTGAGTTCGAGACCAGCCTGGGCTACAAAGTGAGCTCAAGCCCAGCCTGAACTGCATAGCGAGACCCTGTCTCAAAAAGACACACACACACACACACAAGGCTCAGTGGGGCGATGCCAGCTGGGGCACCTGAGCAGAGCAGGGAGAGGTGCGTGTGAGCAGCTGTAGCCCGGGGAAGTGAGAGGACGGTGATGCTTGGAGGGATAAAGGGCATGGGACTGACCCGGTCTAACGCCATGAGTGTGACAGAAGGACAGACAAGGCCAGATCTGAGGGTATCTGTGAGTTCGGAGTTAGATCCTGGATCCTGCTGGATCTTGGGTCACAGAGCTGAGGCTGGATGAGGTGGGAAGTGGAGCCAGAGGGATCTGATGTGGGGAGAAAGTAAAGGCTGAGTGAACTGAAGGCGCAGGGAGCCTGAAGATCATGGCCCGGGCCCCTGAGCTGAGCGCTGAGGAGGCAGACAGGAGAGGGAAGTCGGCCTGGTGAGATCCGGGAAGGTCATGGTTTCTGGCTGCGATTTAGGTTCACTGAAAGGAGAGGAGGGCTGAGGCCAATCCATTCATTCCCTCTAACTCACTCATTCATTTGTTCCTTTGATAACTGACTGGGCGTTCGGTGTGCTAGTGACACAAACAAGGGGTGGGACCCACCCGGCCAGGGGGCCCAGGGAGGGCTTCCTGGAGAAGGTGGCTCTTCCTTGTGTAGGTTGGGTCTGAAAGGGTGAACTGAGCTCTCTGGGGCACAGAGAACAGGGGTTCCAGAAAGGGAGCAGAGCACCAGCAAGTGGGTAGGGGTGGGAAGCCACACGGCCTGTGCCAATGAAGATAGCATGGCCAGAGAGCGGCGCCTGCGGGGACGGGTCCCTTGCTAAGGTGGGGTCACGTTGTAGCGGAACCACTGGGAAAGTTGTGAGTTTAGTGTTACGCCACTGAAGGGCTGAAGCAAGGCGGGGGGGGGGGGTGGCCAGGGTGTGCATCCGTGCACATGAGTGTACGTGTGTGAGTGTGTGTGAATGTGTGTGTGTCTGACGGGATCAGGTTTTTTTTGTTTTCAACAAATTTTCGGGATCAGATTTACGATTCTAGAAATGCAGATGGTGGATCAGAAGTGAATCTGGAGGATGGTGAAAGGGCAGGAGAGGAGTCAGGATGAAGCACAGTTTTGAAGGGAGAGGTGCGTGCCATACCGGAAAGAATCTTCCAGTGGTGTGGGAGCGGAAAGTGCAGGAGCCGGGACCGTGAGCGGCCGGAGCGTTGGGCCACATGTACTCTCAAGGAACAAGGCGGTGGGAGTGTGGGGTGCTCAGGGCGCTCAGCTGAGGGGAAACCCTGCGGCTTCTCGTCTCCTGGGGCCCTGTGACTCAGATGAGAGGGGGTTCTTCAAGGTCTGCGTTAAAGCTAGGCTTTGGCTCTGGATTTGGTGATTCCGCTGAGCCCCTGTGAGGGAGAGCAAGATCAGGATCAAGACCGTTGCCAGGTGGGGACCGTGAACTGGGTAGATCCCGCCAAGGCCATCTGGCAGGCCAGCGTCCTCACATGGTGACAAGCAGATGTGAGCGTGCAAGGGGTGGGCGACACAGAGGAAGGTGGCCAGCTGTGTGACAGGGCTGTGAGGGCCTGTGTGAGGGCCTGGGGTGTGCGACGTGTGTGCACACATGCCCGCTTGTGTACGCACGTGTGCGCTTACAACTCCACACACAGTGGCGTCAGCGAGCAGCTGAGGGACTGAGGGAAGCGGTGGGCAGGAATGAGCAGAGTCATCCCCTGGAAACACAACCCCCGGAGGCTGGCAGGGAGCAGCTGGGGAGCCAGGCACGGGCGTGGCCAGCTCTGCCCAATGGCATCCTCCCCATGTGCTGGCCAAGCCCGAGGAATACGCCTGCTGGCCGGGGCGGTGACCGGGCTGCTGTCGGCGCGGCCTGCGGGGGCTGCCTCTGAGGGTCTGTCCGAGCCCCGTTGTTAGAGGAGGTGGCAATGGGCTCGGGAACGTGGGCTTGTGAAGGCGGTACGTGACTGCACTGCGGTGGCGCCCCTGTGCCTGTCTGTGGCCATCCTCCCAGAGCCATTTTCAGCGAGTGACCCAGCACTGCCCTTCCACGGGGAACAGGCTGGGGGCGCTGGGCGGAAGGGGCCAGGGGCTTTCCCAGGAGACACTCCAGCCACACTCAGGCTGCAGAGTGTCCCGGTGCGTGACACTTTCCCCCACCCTGTGCTTGTAGGGACTGCCGGGCTAACACAGGCCCTGGGAGTCTCACCCGTCCCCATTGCGGTTGCCCGTCCCCTTGTTCCTGTGACTTTTCCAGTGCATCTTCCTCCTCTGTGCTAGCATCTGTAGCTCTCTTGACATGGCCCCTTACCCATATCCTGTCTTCCTGCTACAGCCCCCAGTCTGCCCCAGTATTCCCGGGGGTGGGGGTGTCGGCTCTCAGAGGCCACAGGATGAGCTGTTCAAACCCTCTCCAAAGCCTGAGGCCCTCCCTTCCTTCTCCCCTCTCAGAGCCCAACTCTAAGCACCTCAAAGATCAAGAAGAGAACTCCACGCCCCCACATTCCCCTTTTCCCTCCATCCAGGTCAAGGATGGCCAATGCAGGCAGTGATACCACATTCTTCAGATGTGCCCCTGGTAGACATTACTAATCAATCACAGCCATCTTTTTGCTGGAGTCTGGCTGAGACCTCAGTGTTCTCCACCCACATCTCCAGGTAGCTTGTATCACCCAATCCACATGGCTCCAAGATGAAATCCATTTGCCATTGGCGCATTAGGCTGATCCTGCAGAGCCTTTTGTCCCGGCCCACGTAGAGATCACATGGACACAATCAGCTGTGATTCTGTCTCTGTCCCTGTAGGCTGAAGCCATGCAGTTCCTAGAGCGTGAGCCCAGGAGGTACTGAGGGATTGTGGCGTTGCCCCAAGTCTCCAAGGCCGGGGAGGAGCTGCTTGGTTTGCTGTCGGTCTTGAAGGCGGCCCACCCCACTGCTGGGGAGAGTGCAGTGCAGAGCCGGGAGGGGGATGCTCTGCGCCCAGCACCTGTGCAGCAGTAGCAGCAGCTGGACCCTGCAGGCACATCTCCCAGTCCCTACAGGGCCTGCACACCCACCTCCCTGGCCCAGCCCCTGGGCAGGCAGGAGGTGAGGAGTGGACTGCAGGCCCAGGTGGAGTGACCACCCGGCACCTTGCAACTGCACACTGCAGCCGGCTGACTGTCTGCCGCTCGCCTGGCCCCTGAGCCCAGGATGCAAGGATGGCCAGTTCATCTGTGTCCACCGTACCCCTGGGCCCCCCGTGCCTGCGCCCCTTCACCCGGGAGTCCCTGGCAGCCATAGAGCAGCGGGCGGTGGAGGAGGAGGCCAGGCTGCTGCGGAATAAGCAGATGGAGGTTGATGAGCCCGAACGGAAGCCGCGCAGCGACCTGGAAGCCGGCAAGAACCTGCCCCTTATCTTTGGGGACCCCCCACCAGAAGTCATCGGCATTCCTCTGGAGGACATAGACCCCTACTACAGTGACAAGAAGGTCCGGGGCTGGGAGGGCTCCCTCTGTCTGTCCACTGTCCACCGATGTGTCCTCAGCCTCACAGGCTCTCTCCCTGTCTCAGACCTTCATCGTGCTCAACAAGGGCAAGGCCATCTTCCGCTTCTCCGCCACGCCTGCCCTCTACGTGCTGAGCCCTTTCAGCATCGTCAGGCGAGGCGCCATCAAGGTGCTCATCCACTCATATCCTGCACAAGAAGGAGAGGCGGGGAGGTTAGGGACAGGTGAAATGGGGTGCTCTGGGCCGGGAGACCCTCTACGGGCTCCTCGTCCCACCCCCTCCTGTACTTTCCTTGACCCGCCCCCACGCTATTCAGCATGTTCATCATGATCACCATCTTGACCAACTGTGTGTTCATGACCATGAGTGACCCGCCTCCCTGGTCCAAGAATGTGGAGTAAGTGCCCCCCCCCACCCCCGAGCCCTGGGGCACAGCCCTTCCTGGTTGTCTGCACCTCTGAGGGTGCTTAGTGACACTGCCTGTGACTTCCAGGGGAAGACACTACACGGTCACTATGACCCTCATCGGCTCCTACACCCTTGGTTGGGAGGTGCACGCTCTCACCCTCCCAGTGTCCTCAGCCCCTGGGTGCATATTTCGTCTCTGTGGCCCTCCCTCCTACAAGGTCTGTCACCGCCGCATATGCCCCTGCTCAGGTGACATGCTGGGCCCTGGCTGGCCCTCTCCCGCCAGGTACACCTTCACAGGGATCTATACCTTTGAGTCCCTCATCAAGATGCTGGCCCGAGGCTTCTGCATCGACGACTTCACATTCCTCCGGGACCCCTGGAACTGGCTGGACTTCAGCGTCATTTTGATGGCGTGAGCAAGGGCCTGAGGGCATCTTCAGGCTGGGGTGGGCAAGAGGAGGAGGTCAGGCTTCAAAGAGCTGTCATCCTCTCGAAGGGGTGAGCAGCAGGGGTGATTGGTTACTTACGCGGATGGTGCGTGGCACCATTCTCAGAGCAGCATCCCCGGGGTCTGGCTGGGAGGCTCTGCTGATGTCCCCTCCCGCACCCTGTAGCACGGGCCTGCATCTCCACAGCCCCCAGGCCCTCACTCACTGGGCGGCTGGGCTGCCTGTGCCACTCACCCGCACCAGCAGCACTGCCCTTGCACTGCCCTCTCCAATTCTTGGGCCCCCGTAGGAGCCTTGGGGGTGTTTGACCTACCCCCAACCCGCCATGGTAGCCCCAACTACAAGGATTCAGGAAGCCTTGTCCTGGGTCTGCCCCCCACGCACCCCAGCTCTGACACAGCCCCCACCCCCCAGGTATGTGACAGAGTTTGTGGACTTGGGAAACATCTCAGCACTGAGGACCTTCCGGGTGCTTCGGGCCCTGAAAACCATCACGGTCATCCCAGGTACTGGGAAGGAGGGGAGCTAGGCCTGCCACCACGCCCAGGCCTAAAACCTGACGCTCAAGTTCTAGGAGCCTGACCCAGGCTCACGACACTCCCAGGCTTGTGTTTGTGTAGGACACACACCACAGCCTGGATGCAGAAGGGCCCACGTGGCCAGAGAACAGTAGGGGCCTCCTCCCGAGGCTGGGCATTTGAGGGGCAGCGTAGCAAGGCGAGTAGGAGCATAGGATCTGGAGCCAGACAGCCTGGGTTCAATTTTCTCTATTACTTCCTGACATCGATCTTAGGCTTGTGGCATAGTTTGTTTGTGTCTCAGTACCATTACCTGTTAGAACAGTGCCACTCGCTGGGCATGGTGGCACATGCCTGTAATCCCAGCACTGGGGAGGCTGAGGCAGGAGGATCGTTGGGAGTTCAAGACCAGCCTGGGCTACAAAGTGAGCTCAAGGCCAGCCTGAACTGCATAGTGAGACCCTGTGTCAAAAAGACCAAAAATAAAAAAAGAAAGAAAGAAAAGAAAAAGAAAAAGAAAAAGAAAGAAAAAGAAAAAGAAAAAGAAAAAGAAAGAACAGTGCCACTCATTGGGTTGCTATAAGGATTCAATGCCTTAATAACCAAGAGGTGCTCAGAGCAGTGCCTGGGCTGTTATGTGTGCCCAGAAATGCATGTGGGATGATTCCAAAGTAATGAATGCATGGGGCTGGGGATTTAGCTCAGCAGCACAGCGCCTGCCTGGCAAGCGCAAGGTCGTGAGTTCAATCCTTGGTACCGGAAAAACAAACAAACAAACAAAAAAAAACAAAAAAGTAATGAATGCATCAAGAAGCACAACAACAAATAAAAAATAAAAAAAAGAAGCACAACATACAGAGGATCCAGTTCATCCAGCCCCTCAAAGCGCGTGCAGAGAGCTGGGGGTATAGGTCAGAGGAAGGTGCCTCTCTAGCATGAGGGAGGCCCTGCGTTCGATCCCCAGCATCATTTAAAAAAAAAAAAAACATGCAGACAAGTGAACTATACTGCAACGAGGCAAGATGATCTGAAAGGAATGGCCAGCGGGCAAGCTAAAAGCCCCGCGGCTCCTTCCAGGCCAGTGCCCTCTCCTGGGTGGAAGAAGGTGAGACGGGACTGGAGGTGCTCACAGGACCCACCTCACTTCACACTGGCCGCTGAGTCGAGGTCGCCAGCCCGTCCTCTGTGACAGGCTCCCGCATTCTCTGGGCTCAGGAGGGTTCCCAAAGGAGGCTGCTGCGCATTTGGTTTCCACACCAGGATAAGAGAGAGAGAAAGGCAAAGACACAATGATCAGACCCAAGGAAGAAGTTATGATCCTTCCATCGATGAGGATCGGCCCCTGGAAGCCCTGCCCTGTACCATTAGAATGGTTTATGTTTTTGTCTGTCCGAAGAGATCGAATGCAGTGATGTTTCTAGCTCTTCAGCCTAGAGCTTGTCAAAATAAATCCTGCTGGTCCTTGGGAACGAATAGTCATTATAAGAAAAAGGGTCCTTTTGAAAAGAATTTAAGAAAATACGGCATTAAAGTTTCTGTTTGCTTCTGCAGGACTTTGACAGAATTATCTATATAATGGCATTCTAAGAGCAAACTGTAGGGGCCAGGTTTCCCAAACATCATCAAGCCCCTTATTTAAGGGCCCCGGTTGGGAGATTAGAACTCTGTAGAACATACCTTGGGAGTGCTAACCTAGAGACATTTAGTAGGCCTCTCTGTGTGCTTCTGCATTCTTCCACAGGTCAGGCAATAGCCCACTGAGCTCAAAGTTCATTCGCTTAGTGGCTGAGAGTCCGTGGCAATTCCAAGGCTGCACGCGGAAGATGTGCTCAGAAAAGGGCGGGGTTTCTTTGGGAAGACTTCAGGGAAGCGGTGCGGCTTAGTCAGTCAAGCCTTGAGGATGGAGTAGGCAAAGGCTGGGGGCAGGGGCAGGGGCAGGGTGGGGCCCCATCCCTGCCAACGCTCTTACCGTCCACGGTCAGGGCTGAAGACAATTGTCGGGGCGCTGATCCAGTCGGTGAAAAAGCTGTCGGACGTGATGATCCTCACCGTTTTCTGCCTGAGCGTCTTTGCCCTGGTGGGACTGCAGCTGTTCATGGGAAACCTGCGGCAGAAGTGCGTCCGCTGGCCCCCTCCCTTCAATGACACCAATGCCACGTGGTACGGCAACGACACGTGGTACGGCAACGACACGTGGTACGGCAACGACACGTGGTACGGCAACGACACGTGGAACAGCCCCGACAGCTGGGCCAGCAACTATACCTTTGACTGGGACGCCTACATCAATGATGAAGGTAGGGGCAGGGGTGGGCAGGTAGGGACGGGCCTGTCCCGGCTCTAGGGCAACCTCTCATGTGACATAGGAATAGGGAAGGGACCTGAGTTTGAATCCATCCCTTCCAGCCCACACGTAACCTCTGGCTAGCCCCTCTGTCTCCCTGGCCCTCAGAGTGCTGGCTATGCAACTGAGATGCCAGTGCCTTCCTCAGGGGGTCAGTGTGCAGTGCGTGGTGGAGCACGCCTTCGATCCCAGCTTCTCAGAGGGCTGTGGTGGGAGGGTGGTACGCTCAAGGCCAGCCTGGGCAATTTAACCAGACCCCTGCCTCAAAAATAGAAAGAGGTTACTGTAATAACAAATGACAAATTGCTTTCACAGTCCTAAAGCTATCACTGCACAAAGTGAACGTCTGTAGTTGCTCTTTCCCTAATCGGCCACCTTGTTCTCCTTCGCCACGCCCTGTGCTCACACCCTGGCAAGGCCACTACCGGGCACCCACACACCACACACGTCCTGTTCACACACCCACGCTTCATGAGTACCCCCCCCCCCCCCGCACTGCCAACATTGGAAGAAGACACATGGGGTCTTCTTGCAATTTGAAAAAGTTACTCTTCTTCACCTAGCCCCTGGATTCTAGCTCCCGATTCTAGTCAGGGTCTGGCGCAGGTACATGGTAGCCCCAACACAAACGTACATACGTGTCCCTTCTGGCTCTCCTGGGGCCCCTGCTGAAGCCTGACCTTATAACCGTAGTAGGCACCAAGCCGACACCGCTAGGAGCTGAGAGCTCCTGGATTCTGTCTACCCAGAGACCTTGGAACTTGGACTATCTGTAAAGGAGTGGGAGGGACCCCCGGGAACATCCACCTGGTGTGTGGGGTGCACACAAAGCTGCCCGCAGGTGCGCAGTGGGCGCAGGTGCTGACTGTCCACATGGGTGACACGCCTTGCTTGTGACCTCTGCCTCCCATAGGGAACTACTATTTCCTGGAGGGTGCCCTCGATGCTCTGCTCTGTGGGAACAGCAGTGACGCTGGGTGAGTGGTGCTGGGGGTGGGCGGGGAAAAGGAGCCCCAAGGGTCCTGGAGGACGGGAGCCGACTGGGGACAGGGACCTGGGAGTGTAAGGAAAACCCATGGACATGGATGGAAGACTTTCCTGTTTGGGGGATACAGGATTGAGGGTATTTTTCCCTTGAGGTCCCCGTGTGTCCTCCGGCTGGAGTCCGCCATAGCTAAAGCCAGCCCCCATCCTATCCCCAGGCACTGCCCCGAGGGTTATGAGTGCATGAAGGCCGGGCGCAACCCCAACTATGGCTACACCAGCTACGACACCTTCAGCTGGGCCTTCCTGGCCCTCTTCCGCCTCATGACACAGGATTACTGGGAGAACCTCTTCCAGCTGGTACAGCTGCCCTACCCTGCCCTCCCACCCACAGCTACCCTGCCCTGTCCCCGGTGTCTCCTCAGGGCCTCATAGAGCCTCCCCGGATGGCCAAGCCCCCAGCTGGGCCGTCTCCTCTCCCAAACCCCACTAACGTTCCTACCACCTTTCGGAGACCTCTGACGCCCGCCACCTGCCCCGAGCCAAGTCACTGCTTCTCCGCTTTCCCCATCTTTGCTTATGAGCTGAGGTCTGAGGCAGGCACAGGCCGGACCCAGGAACCCCAGGTCTCACAGAAACCAGCAGGGCAGCTTGGAAACTCAGCTTCAGAAAAGGAATATGAAAGCCTCAACTCTGACCAAACACAGTTGCAGCTGACCCTCCCTCTGTCCCCATGGATAGAGTCAACCAACTGTGGATTGAAAGTATCTGAGAAGAAAAGAACTGTCTGTATGGAGCATGTGCAGACTTTTGGGGTCATTATTCCCTGAATAGTACAGTATATAGTACAGTATAACAGCTATTTCCCTAGCACTTACATCACATTACATAAGTAATCTAGAAATGATTTAAGGTGTAGGGAGGATGTGCCTAGTTTAGACACAAATACAGCATCATTTGATATAAGGGACTTGAGCCTTTGCAGATTTTTATATCCAAGGGGCTGCTGGAACCCATCCCAGTAGATACCAAGGGATGCCTATATTTAATGCCTGGTGTTTACAGGGCAGGCAGGTTGAGTGCCTTCTGACCCCTTCTAACATCCACGACATTTTTTTCTTGTTTTTCTTTTTTTTGAGACAGGGTCTTGCTATGCAGTTCAGACTGGCCTCAAGCTCACTTTGTAGCCCAGGCTGGTCTTGAACTCAAAAACGATCCTCCTGCCTCAACCTCCCGAGTACTGGTACCATCCTTCCAGGGTGGCGTGCACCACCACGCCCGGCCATGATGTTAACAATAACTGCAGTGATAGTAATAGCTACTATTTGTTGAGCACTCACTAGGTACCAGGCTCCGAGACAAAGGTAGGATTCAAGCTGTTCCCAAAGCCAGTGTTCACCATGCTCTACCCTAGATCTCAAGATGCCTAGCTGGAGTCCTTGGGCTCTTTGAGCAGGAATGCCTAGGACACCAGGAATGCCTAGGTCTGAGGTATACCTTTTAAAATTCTGCAGAATGTGCCCTAGCCTGCTTCAAAAGCACTCAGCTCCTCAGGCTCTGTAAGGGATCCTCTTCACTGGGTGATGAGTGTGCGGTGGGGTCAGTAGGTGCCATGGGATCCCCTCCCTCCTTCTTTCCCCACCTCCAGACTCTCCGAGCAGCCGGCAAGACCTACATGATCTTCTTCGTGGTCATCATCTTCCTGGGCTCCTTCTATCTCATCAATCTGATCCTGGCAGTGGTGGCCATGGCGTATGCTGAGCAGAACGAGGCCACCTTAGCCGAAGATCAGGAGAAAGAGGAGGAGTTTCAGCAGATGCTTGAGAAATTCAAAAAGCAACAGGAGGAGCTGGAGAAGGTATGACCATGGGGCGGGGCTAAGGACCGAGACACGCCCCCGGCCCTGGGCCTGGGGTGCTTGGCCACTGGGTTCTCCTGGGTAGACTGAGGGCGACAGGGAAGCATGGGATGGGGGAAAGAGGAGGTCCCAGGCTGGGGGCTTTGGTGGAATGGTGCCATCCAGGCAGTACAGCGGACCCTCGAGTTACAACGGCCTGACACATGAACAACTTGGGTTATGACCGGAATTTTAGTTTTACAACCAGAGTCTTGACTTACAACCCGAGTACCAGCTGCCTGTGCCTCCGGGTGGTCTCAGATACAGAGTTAACCCTTGAAGAGCTCTGGAAGGAACATTACAGCGTCCTCTCCTGTGAACCACACAATTGAGGAGTCCTGGGCCAAGGTCTCTCTGAGGACACTGAGGTCCGCCTGTATACAGGACAGGGACTCTGACGGCTGTGTAGAGGAGCTGAGCCTTCAGCGGACAACTTGAGTCACAGCCAGCCCTCGGGAGCGAGTTGAGGTCATAAGTCAAGGGTCCACTGTACTGTGCTTCTCTGCTTTGTGCCTCAGTTTCCTCAGCAGTACTAAGGAATCTAGAGTCATGAAAACTGAAGGGTCCTCCAGCTTAAAGACCTATGGCTTTGTGCTTCTTTACAGGCCCTGGCTGAGGGAGACGCAGGTCCCCATGCAACTGCAGGGAACAGTTGCCCATTTTCTCAGTCTCACGAGGTGTAGAGTCAGTCAGGGCCTCAGAGAGTTGAGGGTCTTCAGGGATGAAGGTTCTCAGTCACTTGGTCCCTACCTTGTCACCTGATCCCACTGAAGCCCTTCCCCACCTGCACAAGCCAGGAACGGCGCTGTCGTCCTGAAGGACTCTGCAAGAGGCTCTGAGAGTCCATGAGTCCGTCCCCTGACTCAGGGCTGGACCTCACAGCTATCCCCCCACAGGCCAAGGCCGCGCAGGCTCTGGAAGGTGGGGAGGCAGATGGAGACCTGGCTCCTGGCAAAGACTGCAATGGCAGCCTGGACACGTCTGGGGAGAAGGGGCCGCCGAGACCGAGCTGCAGTGCAGACAGCGCCATCTCAGATGCTATGGAAGGTGAGTGCCCTGCACCCCAAATCCTTCTACTCTGCCTGTCCTGCCCCCCAGGCCACTCAGCCTCCTTAGAGGTAGATGGCGTCTGGCTAGACCCAGCTTCAGGAGAGCAGTAACTTAATATTGGCATCGAAGAAATGAACTGTGATAAATATAGTGCTGTCTTAACCTGGCCCAGTTCTGACTGTAAGGCCAGGCGGCTGTAAGAACTAGGGGCTTCCGGGAGGGCCTTGGGGGCTGCCAAGGCAATGGGGAAGGACAGGCTAATAATACTAACCAGGAAGGCTGGCTGTTCCGGAAACTGGAGAGCCTGCTGCTCCCGCAGTGTTCTTTGGGTAAAAGTTGAAAGTCAAACGTTCAGTGGCCTAGGTAGAATCACAAGCTACCTGCATGCCCAGTATCACCCCCAAGTCCCAGGAAGAGAGCAAGGGTACCGTGGCGGAGGAAGGGTGGGTAGGCAGAGGGATGGATGGGCTGAGAGATGGAAAGATGGCCGAGGGAAAGAGATAGCTGGGTGTACTGATGGGGGTCAGGAAGGAGGGAGCAAGGGAGGGAAGAGTGAGCTATGAAAGGTGGGGAAAAGACAGGAAACAGGACACAGGGAGGACAGCAGAAAGGAGCTCTGACCTGGAGGAGCGATCCGGCCCCTCACCAGGCCAGCTTGCCTTGGGTCGAAAACCGGGAGTTGGGGGACCTTCAGGACTTTGCAGACCCCTCCCGGGCACCATCTTACCCAGCCTTGCACGGTGCATTCAGGCGGTTGTGTGCCCTGCCAGAGAATGTTCCAAGTCACCCTGGCCCCTCACCCCCGCCCTTGCCGGGGTCTGTCTGTATGAGAAGCTCTAGGCCTCAGACACTGGGTCACCTCGGTATCATGGCGGTGGGGCTGGAGGCGGGCGAGGGCACCGTCAGATTAGATTCACTGCCAATCTTTGCGAAGGCGCAGTTTTCCGCGTCCTGGGCAGGGGTGGGGTCACACCCACAGTGTCCATGAGGCTGCCCCCCATTCCAGTCCCTTTTCTTTGCCTACAGAGTGGGTGGCGCTAATAGTATTCACCTTATAACTCCCTGGTGATCAAGTCAACGAGACCAAGCCTAGGCTAGGCCACTCCCAGAAGCCAAAGCAGCCAGGTAGAGGAGCAGCCGCATCCCACGGTCCTGACAGCCCACGGCTTCCGGGGGAGGAAAACGGGGAGTTTCCAGAAAGCCCCTCTGGAAAGAAAGGAGGGGGTCTGGCTAGGGACAGTCTGGAGGAGCTGGCAACACTGGCAGAGGGGAGAGACAATCTTCAGGGGGCTCTCGGTCTGCTCCCAAGAAGCTTGTGAGTCTGAGACCTGACCCCCTAGTGCGAGCTCCCTCCTTTGCTTGAGGCCTCTGGAACCCAGCCAGAGTCAGGGCTTCTCTCCTGCCAGGATCCCAGCCGTTGGAAGCTGGCCGCGATCCCAGTGAGCCAGAGCTCACCACGTAGGGCTTTGTGTGGTGTGCCAAGTAGGCGGGGCGTGAAGGAGCCCATCACAGCAGGGCCTGGGTAAGGCTTCCAGAGAGGAGGCCCTTGGAAGGGCTTGGCTACCAGGGCAGGGTCAGCGTGGGCATGTGGGGGATTGTGGGGACAGGCCTTGCCGTGACACTGAGAGGGGCTTGGAGAAGGCCTTCTAGAGGGCGGGCTTGTGAGATGCAAGGCCCAGAGGGCCAGGACTTGAAGGCGCAAGGTTGTGTGAGTGGAGCTGATAGGGAAGGGAGTACAATGAAGGCAATGGGATTTGGAATAAACTGTGTTAACTTTCCCTCACTGGGGGGCTGGGGATTTAGCTCAGTGGCGCAGCGCCTGCCTGGCAAGCACAACGTCATGAGTTCGATTCCCAGTACCAGAAAAAAATAAACAAACAAACAAACAAACAAAAATTCTATATCTTCTTAGAACAATATATTAACAAAATTAATCATTGGGGGCTGGGGATTTAGCTCAGTGGCACAGCGCCTGCCTGGCAAGCACGAGGTCATGAGTTCGATTCCCGGTACCTGAAAAAAACCAAAATAAAAAAAAAACTTTCCCTCACTGGGATAAAATACCTGACATGAGCAACTTAAGAGGAGAGTGTTGTTTTTTGGTTTTTTTGGTTGGAAGGTTGGTTGGTTGAGACAGGGTCTCACTCTGTAGTCCAGGGTGCAGTCCTTGAACTCGCTACCCTCTTGCCTCAGCCTCTTGAGTTCTGAGGTACCTACCCCCATGAGGCGGGACTTATCTTAGCTCACAGTTTCAGAGGCTTCCATCCATCTTGGCTGGTCCCGTTGCTGTGTGCCTGAGGAGAGACAGAATCGTGACAGAGCAAAGCTCCTCACCTCAGGGCAGCCGGAGGCAGAGAGCCAGGGGAAAGGCAGAAAGTCAGGGGCCAGGAAGCAGATGTGCCCTTCAAAGGCGCACACACCCTGTCCACGACCTACTTCCACCTCCTAACCGCCCACTGAGCTAAAGGGCTCGTCAAAGGCCTAGCCCACCGGTGAGGTTGGTGGCCTCCTGATCCGGTCACCTCTCGCAGCTTCACCCCTGAACACTGCTGCACTGGGGATCCACCCCTCAATAGTGAGTCTTTCGGGGACTCTTTGCAGCTAAACCACAGCACAGGCTGTGCTGGCAGCTGGGATGCTGAGAGGTGGAGCGTGGAAGGAGGGAGCAGAGGGCTGGGTAGAGAAGTTCTTAGCAGGCTCCTGTCCCAACCCTGCTCCTAGAGCTGGAAGAGGCCCACCAGAAGTGCCCGCCGTGGTGGTACAAGTGCGCGCACACGGTGCTCATATGGAACTGCTGCGCGCCCTGGGTGAAGTTCAAACGCATCGTCTACCTGATCGTCATGGACCCCTTCGTGGACCTGGGCATCACCATCTGCATCGTGCTCAACACGCTCTTCATGGCCATGGAGCACTACCCCATGACAGAGCAGTTCGACAACGTGCTCTCCGTGGGCAACCTGGTAGGGGGGCGACGAGAGGAGAGAGTGGCGGTGTGGGGGCAGGGTGGCATGAAGCAGCAGGAGCCGGCGGGGCTGCCCGGGCTGTGCACAAATTCAGAGCCCCACAGAGGGCGTGGGGACAGCTGGGGCTCCCAGCATCTGAGGGGGTGAGTGTACGAGGGAGAAAGCGTGCAGGGGACTGTGAGACATGGAGTTGGGGCTTTAGGGTTTTTGAGGGCAGAGGGCATGAGCTGAGGTGCTGGTCTCTTGGGCGGCTGCGATTCAAGCCAGCTCTGGAGATGGGGGTGGGGAGGCGGGCCCATGGGGACCGGGTGGGGGTGGGTGAGAGGTTTCTCCACTCTTGTAGGTTGTCACAGGCCTGAAGGGGACCCAGGGTCCTGACGTACCCACAGGCACCCACGTCCAGGAGGCCCCAGCTCACGCCAGCCCCCAGGGGGCGGTGTCCCCCATCTCCAGCCCGGCCAGGCCACTCCCTGCTCCAGCCCTTTGCTGCTCGGCTATTGTTGACATGCACTGATCCGCTCGCTTATCCCGGCCGTTAGGAGCATTATCACCTCGTTGCCAGCCCCGGCGGAGCCTGACAAAGGAAAAGCCGCCGCCTCCTCCAGCCCCACCCCACCCTTCCCAAGCCCCTTTGCAGTTTTTCAGCATGGCAGCTGGGCGCGATGCTCCCCCACCCCCAAGGGAGAGGCAAGCTCGGGAGAGTAAGATGGGACTGGGGCAGGACCGAGACGTGACGGGGGGCACAAAAGTCAGGCTCTGGACTCTCCAGCCCTCGAGGCAGGCATATTTATCTCACGGATGCCCGGCGTGGCCATGGCCAGGCTGGCCCCGGAGGCCAAGGGCGTGCTCTGGACTCGGGGCACAGCTGCTGCAGTGTGCATGACGGGCAGGGCCCACCGCCTGCCCACTCCCTGCCCCCACTATGCGGCAGTCTGGGCGCCTGCCATGGCCAGGCACAGCTCCTGGGAGGGCTCAGCATGTGCCCAGGCTCACTGTGACCCCAGGGCAGCTGGTGCCTGCACGATGGGGGTCATGCCCACGGAGCTCTCAGAGGCTGGGCAACCCCCAGAATCAGCGAGGCGGCTCTTCTCACCAGTTCTGTCCCTTTGGGCCCCTGCCCTGCCCTGAGTCCACTGAGGTGGGTTAGGTTCTCGGACTGGACCCAGGAGAGAGGCTCGGGGTACAGAGGCAAGAGCCTGCAGCCTGGGAACTGTGCAGAGAGGCCGAGACCTGGCTGCGGACCTCCGTGAGCGATGAAACAAGCGTGATAATCCCTCCCACCTTTGTAGAGATGAGGATACCGATGAGGGTCACAGCGTAGACCAGGGTGTGCACCAGGAATGTTGAATACGGTGCCTGGGTCAAGGACCCATGAAGTTAAGCGACTTGCCCGTGGTCACTGCATTGTGGCTACCTCTGCGTATGGCATGGGCCTGGCATCTGACACTCAGATACATACACATGGGCCATGGGTTCCACCCCCCGCCTCGCTCACTGCCCTGGACCACTTCCCCCCTACTTTCCAAAGCCTCTGCCAAAAGGTGTCAGAGGGTGGGAGACTCCTAAGGCGCTGTGCTTCCTGAGGCGCGGTGACAGGGCCCCACCCACCCGCAGGTCTTCACGGGCATCTTCACCGCGGAGATGGTGCTGAAGCTGATCGCCTTGGACCCCTACCAGTATTTCCAGCAGGGCTGGAACATCTTCGACAGTATCATTGTCACCCTCAGCCTGGTGGAGCTGGGCCTGGCCAACGTGCAGGGGCTGTCTGTGCTCCGCTCCTTCCGCCTGGTATGAGAGACCCACGGGGCCAGGGGCTAAGAAGGAGGTGGGAGGAAAACCCCAAGAAGCCACAGGGCTGGAGATGAGCCTCTCTGGCCTGTGCGTACCACTTGGCCTGTGTGCATCTTTCTAATCTGTAAACAAGGTGAAAGGGAGGCCCCCTCCTATCGGGTACCAGGCTGAAAGTCCCAGGAGCTGACACTGGATGACCTGGGCAGCAGCACAGCCGGGACTCCAGTGCTACCTCACAGGCCTGAAAACAGAGGCTCAGCAGCTCATTAATGTCCACCTGGGACCTCAGAGCTAGTCTTTCCTCTAGCCCATAAGGATTAGGTACATTATTTTTTAAAACTTTGTGATGAAACCTTTCATGTGTATGAAAAAATATAGACAAAAGCTAGAAGTACCTACCACCCAGCTCCAACAGTTATCACTGTTCTACAGTTTCTCTTTCACCCTCTACTGTTTTTACTGGTGACAGGGGAGTGTGTTAAAGCAAATCCTGACATGCAGTCTCACTTGTAAATGCGTTAGTCTGTGTCCTTTACAGAGAGAGACTTTTTTAAGCACCTCGGCAGCAGGGGCGGTAGGGTATAAATGGCCCCATTTACCAGAGGCCAACTGAGGCTTCAGACCACCCAGAGAGTAGAGCTTGAGGCTCTTCCAAATTGTTGTTTCTCCCGAGGCTTTGGCTCAGGGAGTCCCCGGGCCTTAGGTAGCCTTGCTCTCCCCAGCTCCGGGTCTTCAAATTGGCTAAGTCCTGGCCCACGCTCAACATGCTCATCAAGATCATCGGCAACTCAGTGGGGGCCCTGGGCAACCTGACACTGGTGCTGGCCATCATCGTGTTCATCTTCGCCGTGGTGGGCATGCAGCTGTTCGGCAAGAGCTACAAGGAGTGCGTGTGTAAGATCGCCGCGGACTGCAGCCTGCCCCGCTGGCACATGCATGACTTCTTCCACTCCTTCCTCATCGTCTTCCGCATCCTGTGCGGGGAGTGGATCGAGACCATGTGGGACTGCATGGAGGTGGCTGGCCAGGCCATGTGCCTCACCGTCTTCCTCATGGTCATGGTCATCGGCAACCTGGTGGTGAGTGCCCCTGGCCAGCTGGCTTCCCCACCTTCGCCCAAGAAGTGTACAAGGTGTGTGCAGCCCCTCTCCCGCCTTTCCATCAGACTGCGTTTGAGGGTCTTATTCCTAGTAGGTAAAACCATAGGAAATTGCTGGCATTTGATTATTTTCTACTCCCCACCCCCCTCCCAATGGCAATTTACATAAAACTGCTTAAGAATCACCCGGAGTTAAGACAGGTATGGTGGGGCATGGCTGTAATCTCAGCACCTGGGAGGCTGAGGCGGGAGGATCACTTCGAGATCGAGTTTGAGTTCGAAGCCAGCCTTGGCTACAAAGTGAGCTCGAAGTCAGCCCGAACTGCATAGCGAGACCCTGTCTCAAAAAGATTTAAAAAAAAAAAAAAATCATCTGGAATTTCTTAAAACATGGATTCCTGGTCCCACCTCCAGAGAATCTGATTCAGCAGCTCTAGGCCAGAGCCTGGGAATCTGCATTCCAGACAAACTCCAGGCGTGGCCTTGGGAATCAAGCCTTAGGTAGGTAGTACGTTGAGGAAAGTAACACGGTGATGAATAAGACAGAACTGCATGACAATCCCCGCTTGCATTGGAGCTGTCAGCCTGAACCCATGGCTATCTCTAGCCAGGTGGGAATTTCTAACTGTCACATAGGAGAAAAACAACAGGTGCCCATGAGCCCGGGGTGATGGAGCACACCTGCAATTCCAGCACTCAGGAGGCTGAGACAGGAGAATGGTTGAGTTCAAGGCCCACCTGGGCCATGCAGCAAGACCCTGTCTCAGAAAAGCAAAAAATAAAAAATGAAAACTAATAGTACTTCATGAAGGTGCTAGGAAGCCTGGCCGTACGAGTACACAGAAAGTCACAGTGTGGGGTGCGACTGGGCCCTGAGTCTCTTGGTTTTCTCCTACCCTCTCACCCTCCTCTGACCTGGGTTTGTGAGCCCAGGCTCTGGAAAAAAGAAGGAGGTCTCCAGGGTTGGGAGAACGCAGAGATGACATCCAGAGCTCCGCCCGTTCTGCCCCTCTCTGTGGCGCGGGGCGTGGTGTGTGAGGCTCTGCTCCACAGGAGAGGCGAGCGCGAGGTGGGGACAGGCGCCGGGGTCCCCCGGCTGGCACTTTTGTGGCTGGCGCCATGGATGTGTCTCTCCTGACCATGCCGACCCTGGCCCTTCCTCTTTGTGGGGTGGGAGTTGGGGAGTCGCTCCTGTTGGCGCCCTGGAGCACCGGACCCAGCTGCCCCGCGGTAGCCAGCACTGGCCTGGGCAACGGGGGGTGGAACACATGGAAGTCCCCACGCTCCGCAAGGGCCTGTGGAATCCTCGGGCTGCTGGGTCAGCGCTTCTCAGATATCGCTGAGCTCCGGCTGGGGGCAGGGGCAGCGGGGGGCGGGGGGGTCACCTCGGCTGAAGGAGGAGACGTGGGGCAGCTAGAGAAGAGGGCCCGGGCTCGCTGTCCCTGACACGGTGGCACCTGAGGAGTGGAGAGATGGGGAAGGTGCTGAGGCTGAACTTCGGGCCAGGCTCTGAGCAGAAGTCTGGGGGTATAAAGAATTTATAGAGGGTTTCTGTCTCTGTGGTGGATACTCAGAAATGTTTTTGCCACTTGCTCACTGGGAGAACTTGAGCAAGAAATCTAGCCTTGTGGGCCTTGGTTTTCTCACCTGGAGAATGGGGATGCTAATTCTTGGGACGCTGACCGGGAGTGGCCGTGAGGATTGCATGATGCACGGCTCGGTGCTTAGCAAGGCACTTGGTACCCGAGGCCAGCAGAGGGGAGATACTCCAGGCAAGCGGCTCTGTGTTAAAAATTGCTGTAATAACATTGGTAGCTCCTAAAATTGGGGAGATGCCCTTGCTGGGGGCACGGAAGGGAGGCAATGGTCCTTGCCACTGGCAAAATGCTTCTGTGTCAGTTTTAGGCCTTTGCCATGCGCCAGTCCCCGTGCCCAGGGCTTTTGGTGTATTGTCCCTAATCCTTCCAGCAACCCTATGAGGCAGGTAACGCTGCATCCGTGGCCTGAAGGAGGCGCTGCCAGCGCCAGCTGGACCGACCCAGGGCTGGAGCCTGGGTCTGTGACTCCAGTAACCACGCGGCCACTGAGAGCAGCAGCGGTAACACTGCTCGCCTCGACATCAGCAGTGCCCGGGCAGCGCTGCGCCTTTGCTCAGTCTCTCCCCCACTCTGAGTGTGCGGCCTGTATTTGCGCACTTGGCCCCACCCGCCATCCACAGGGGCGGCGCTGGTTGGCCTGTTTCCCACCTGAGGAAGCAAAGGCGTGGGGAGGTAACTTAGTGATGAATGCAGGATTCGAACCCACGGGATCTGGCTCCAGAGTCTGCAGCCGCTGTGCCACACTGTGTGTTTGCCATCGCTCCTCCCACACACACTCAGGCACACTCACATGTGCACACTTGCACATGCGTGTACACACACACACACACAGACACACACACACAGACATTTTCTCCCAGCCCAGCTCTGTGGCTCTTCCAGTTTGCTCACAGGGAGCGCAGTGGCCCAGGGAGGCGGAACACTCAGCTCCTTGGGCACTGTCCCCTCCCGCCCTCCTCCCCAGGCTTCAGAGAAGCAGGTGTCTGCCAGCGGGCACCAGGGCACCCTTCCAAGGAGGGTGGGGACCTGTGCCCCCTGCATCTGTGGTACTTGGTCACCTCCTCTGGGTTATGGTGGAGAAGAGGAAGTGACTGGGTCACAGGCACCCCACCCCACCCCCGAGCCCCCCGGGGAACATGACCTCCATCTCCCTCCTCTCCTTTGCCCCCCTCCTTTGCCCGAGGAGGCTATTTCTGGCCCAGGCAGGAGCCGTGTGCAAACCCTGCTGACCCAGAGAGCAGCTAATTCCCATCTCAGATGTGTTTCTGGCAACTGGATGCCTCCTCCCCAAAAGAGGGAGAAGGAAGCCTAATAAATGCGGGTGGGGCCAAGGCAGAACGGGAGCTAGAGGGCACGGTGTGGGTGTGGACCTCCCCCCAGCGCACTCTGTCCAAGAGGGTTTGAACATGGTACTTTAAAGATACTGTATTTGCATGACAGTCCAGACAATGACAAGAAGACCTTGAAGGACACTGGTCCAGCCAGACAGTGAGGCACGTGGAACCGGGGGGTCAAGGGCACAGCCTCACACACGAGGGCCCCGGTCACTCACGTCCATTCGCAGGGGTGCCCCGCCCCCACCCTGAGAGTGAGAACCGGGCTGCGCCTTTGGCTGACGGGGCCGGCACCGCCCCCAACCAGCTCCACCTTTCTCCCACCATCCAGGCCCTCGTGCATGGTGCAAGGAAGGACTGCCGCACCCTGGCGCTCTGCGGATGCCATTCACATTGTAGTGTGAAGCAAACTGTGCCCCCTAAGAAGGTCCAGTGACCGGCAGCCTGGTTCTCATTCTGACTGTGCTGTTTGTCCCACAGCAAATCACTCTACCATTCTGGGACTCAGTGTCCTCATCTGTAAAACGAGAGTTCATGCTCTTCACTGTACCTGGTACAGTTTTCCATTGCACACATAATACCAACCAACCTGCCCTGGGCAGCTGTTCTTATATCAATCTATTAATTGTCACAACAGTGTGAGGAGTGCTGAAATCATCCCCATTTAACAGATGAGAAAACTGAGGCATGGAGCAGTGAAACAGCTTGGCTCAGGACAGACAGCTAGTAAACTGGGGTTCAGAGCCAGCCTGTGCATCCGGTACCTTATCGTCATGCAAACCCACAGTGTTGTATTTGTCTGATCACACATCTGTCTTCTCTAAGCTGTGGACTCCTAAGGCCTCTTGTTCCCCCTCAGTGTCAGGAGCTCAGTAATTGTCTGTCCACTGGAAAATAAATTGTGGGAAGGGGATGGGCGGAGGGTGACCGGTAGCCGTTAGTCCCCGTCAGTAGAGAGGAGAAGGTAACCAAGGGTAGGTGCGGTAGGGAGTCCCAAGGGGAGGAAGGGGTGAATAGCTGCTATTTTAGGTTCCCTTCCAGAGCAACAGGGTCAGAGCTGAGCGCGGGGTCTGAGAAGTCCCATTTAACAGATCAGGAAAAAGACTCAACGGTTAAGAGCCCAGCACATGCTAGAGGCTGGGAGACCTGAGCCCTGCTCTGTGTTCTGCACCCCCTGACAGCGGAGGTAGAGGACAGAGCCACAGAAAGACCCCTTGTCACCCAGGGCGCCTCCCCAGAGCTTGCCACTGCCCCGGGCTGCTGAGCTCTTCCGGAAGCCCAAGCCTTAGTTCCCACATCTGCAAAGCGGGATGGTAACATCAGTGCCCTCTCCACCCCAGAGCCCCGGAGGCTGCCTGAGACTCTCCCTGCCTTGTTCGCCAGGTCCTGAACCTGTTCCTGGCCCTCCTGCTGAGCTCCTTCAGCGCCGACAGCCTGGCAGCCTCAGATGAGGACGGGGAGATGAACAACCTTCAGATAGCCATCGGGCGTATCAAGTGGGGCATCGGCTTTGCGAAGGCCTTCCTCTTGGGGCTGTTGCATGGCAAGGTCCTGAGCCCCAAGGAGATAATGCTCAGCCTCGGGGAGCCCGGGGGCACTGGAGAGGCTGGAGAGGTGGGGGAGAGTGCCCCCGAGGACGAGAAGAAGGAGCCGCCCCCGGAGGAAGGGGACAAGGATCTGAAGAAGGACGACCACATCCTGAACCACGTGGGCCTGGCCGACGGCCCGCCCTCCACCATCGAGCTGGACCACCTCAATTTCATCAACAACCCCTACCTGACCATCCAGGTGCCCATTGCCTCCGAGGAGTCCGACCTGGAGATGCCCACCGAGGAGGAAACGGACACATTTTCGGAGCCTGAGGATGGCAAGGTGAGCCTATCCAGAGTCTGGCTAGAGGGGCTGGGGGCCAGATAAACCTGGCTTCAAGTTTTTGTGTGACCTCGGGCAAGTCACAAATCCTTTCACCCTCAGTTTCTCCGTGTGTAAAACGGGGGTGATGATGCCCACCACGTGACATCGATGTGCGCATGCGTGAGGTGCTGTGCGCTAAGAGTTTTGTAAAAAAAGACTGGTTACGGTCAACCAGGCCAAAACGCCGCCTTGACCCTCTTACCAGCAGGTGGCGCTCTTGGACAGGACGGCTTATCCATGGCGCCTAAGAGGCCTCCCTTAAACCCCTCTGAGTTTGAAGCCTCAGGTCCTTGCACAGTCATCCGCCTCCGCGTAGACCCCACCTGGAGCTGGTACCAGCCTTCCAGCGGGTCAGGTCCAGCCCGGAGGCTCTGAGGGGAGGAGCTATGGGGCTAAAGGAAGTTGGGGACAAAGACAGCAGGGAGCTGCGGCGCAGCCCCAGGATGGGAACCTGACCCCAGCCGGGCCCACTGGACCCTGGTGAACTTTGTCCTGGAAGCTCTTGACTTCTTATTCTCCCCAAATATGTGGCATGGTGACTTACCAGGGGCCCGAGTGCCTGCCGAGCTATAAATACCCCAGGCAGCTGGCACCGGACCTGGACCTCGATAGGAGGAACTCGGTGGGGGAGGCGCTAAGAACACCAGGCCCGAAGCTCTGGGGAAGGCTGAGAGTGGGATCTCTCTGAAGGGAGCTGGGCGGAGCACAAGGGGGAGCCCAGGTGCGCAGGGGAGGCAAGCGGCTGGGCGGATACTGGGGCCAGCCGAACACTGCCTCAGTTTCCCTTTCGTCAGCTGGTAACAAGAATGCCTTATCTTTGGTTTTCTGGCCACGGCTGTGGCTGCAGAGCTGCCCTCACCACACCCGCCCCCAAACCGCCCAATCCACCGTCCCCTCCGGGGGCCTCACCCCCAGCAGGGTAGGGGCTCCTTGCAGAGGGGAGGCAGGGTCTGAGAAGCCGCGGGCAGCGCCAGGAGGAGGAGGGAGGAGGCCCGGCCAGGACGGAGCAACAGCCCCACCCCCGCGCTGATCAAGTTCCCTTGGCACCCAACTGGCGCCTCAGTAGGGGAAAATTTTCCATCCTTTTCGGATCCTTCAGCCAAACAGATCCCGGGGTGGGAGGGCCAGGGTTCTGGGGGCGCCAGGGGTCTGTTTTGTGTGGGTTGTGGCGCCCAGCCCCGTCGTGACCCCTTTGCTCACCTCCATATCCTCAAAAGTCCTTCCAGGCCTCTTTCCTCCCCTGGCCCCTTCGTTCTCCCAGGCCTCCAGCCCACCGAGCCGCTTCCAGCCGCCCCCACCCGGATTCCCCGTCAGCCTCTCCCTCACCTGAGGCCCGCACCGTCTCCTCACCCCCTCGTTGCCCCTTCTCAGGCCTCGCATGTCCTGCGGGGAGGACAGAGGCCGCCTTGTCCCCGTGGGCTTCTGCAGGGGTCCCCCAGCACGGAGGAATGAATGCGTGCACCTGCCCCACTCCCTTCTCCTCTCCCTCTGATCGCCCCTCCTGCCCCACCTGGCGGGAGGAGGAGAGGGTCTTTTGGGGCCCAGGGGTCACGTGCCCCTGTGGCCCCTGCAGAAGCTGCCGCAGCCCCTCTACGATGGGAACTCCTCCGTCTGCAGCACTGCTGACTACAAGCCCCCCGAGGAGGACCCCGAGGAGCAGGCCGAGGAGAACCCTGAGGGGGAGCAGCCTGAGGAGTGCTTCACCGAAGGTGAGGGCGAGCCAGCGCGCAGCACCCTCACTTGGCCTGGGTGTCCCTGTGAGAGGCAGGCCGTGCCAGGGCTAGAGGAGGCCGTGCAAAAGCAGGTGGCCTTCCTCCCTGACGCTGCTTTCCCTGCCTCTCCCTGGGCATGAACCGGCTCCTGGGCCTGTGCTAAGCTGAGTGACCTGCCGGGGCGAGGTGGGGAAGGGGGACAGCGGGCCTGAGCCTGCTGCAGAGCACCTTTCCTCTGTGCCCTCCCCTGGCAGGGGTGGCATGGGTGGAGCGGGCTGTGGAGGGGGCACCTGAGCCCCCCCCACGCACCAGATGGAGCCAGATGTGGACGAAGGGGCTCTGGGCCTGGCGGGCGGTGAGGTGGAGGCTGTAGGGGGCAGCCACGTGACGTGGGCCCGACCTGCTCCCCAGCCTGTGTGCAGCGCTTCCCTTGTCTCTACGTGGACACCTCCCAGGGCCGAGGGAAGACGTGGTGGACTCTCCGCAGGGCCTGCTTCAAGATTGTTGAGCACAACTGGTTTGAGACTTTCATTGTCTTCATGATCCTGCTCAGCAGCGGGGCCCTGGTAGGCACCTCCCCAGGGGGCAGGGCAGGGACAGACCCACGTCCCAGGCCGCAAGGAGTCCCCCCGAGGGCTCCTGCCCAGAGAGTCCCAAACTCAGAGCCGGGAAGGGGACTCACCCATGCCTCCGGGATACGATTTAGAATGCATTCGCTTCGTAAAGTGACAGATAGGCCCCCTTGTTCCATGGCTGTCGGGTGTAACCCCCGGCGACTGGGGAGGCTGGGTGGGCCCTGGGATTTGGGGCTAAGGTCGGGGGCAGGTCTAAAGACGTAGCACCGGGAAGTCCCAGCAGAAAACAGAACGGAGACTGCTCCCCACGGGCCAGTTATCCCTCTCCGTGATGGGGAAGGGCTGGGAGACGTCCGCAGTGCCCCCCCAGCCCGGCTCCCATGGCAGGCCCCTGGCAACCGGCATCATGGGGCAGGATATGGGGCGTAGCTGCTGCCCCCGGCTCTGGTCCCCTGGCCACCTCGGGTCGTGCTGCTGTCCCCAGGCCTTTGAAGACATCTACATCGAGCAGCGGCGTGTCATCCGCACCATCCTGGAGTACGCGGATAAGGTCTTCACCTACATTTTCATCGTGGAGATGCTGCTCAAGTGGGTGGCGTACGGCTTCAAGGTGTACTTCACCAACGCCTGGTGCTGGCTGGACTTCCTCATCGTGGACGTGAGTGTGCCAGCCCTGACCCCCGGGCCAGATCCCGAGGCTGTGGTGACTGTGGAGCTTCCGGAACTCAGGCCTGGGGAGGCGGGACCTGCCACGGCCACACAGAGAGTCAAACCCCCGGATCAGCATCAGTCCCTGCTAAGACACCTTCCTGCTTCTCAGACACAGCTCCCAAAGAGGAGGAATAAAAGACCACGTTTCTCATGAGGGTCAGGCAGGCCTGGGGGCCACATGATCCCTGCCGATATGTGGGGAGGATTTCCGTGCCCTTTTCGATGAGTGTACAGGCCCACGCAGGAGGCGGGTATGGTGTCTCTCACTTACTGTCATCCCCAGTTGCCTGGTGACCTCTCTGAGGGGTAGGCAGACTCCAGAGATTCTGGGGCCGGTCCCAGGGCTGCTATCCCACCAGACAGCATCACCCACTAGGGAGGGGGTCCAGGGAGCTGCACGCTCAGGAAGGTGCCCCCCCAAGGCCAGGTCTCTTCCTGGGGGCTGTGGCCCTGGCTTGAGGGAGTGCAAGGGTCCTGCGCTCACTGACCACACCCATCCCTCTTTTGCAGGTCTCCATCATCAGCCTGGTAGCCAACTGGCTGGGCTACTCCGAGCTGGGACCCATCAAATCCCTGAGAACGCTGCGGGCGCTGCGTCCCTTGAGGGCACTGTCTCGATTCGAGGGCATGAGGGTGGGTGCTAAGGGGGCCCCTGAAGGGGGCTCCAGAGGGGGGAGCAGCCATCCACAGGGCAACAAGGCGCGTGTCTGTATTCTAGCTACCACTAGGGCTTGACACGCTTTGGCCAGGCTGGGGCCCTGGAGACCTCTGCTGCCCATCCGTGACCGGCCGCATTCCCGCCACCACTGGGGGCAGCAGAGGCTGCTGCAGTGTCCTGAAGGGCTTGCAGCTGGGAAGAGCGTGAAGGCAAGCAGGTCTGTGGATCATGGTTGTCCCTCTGTCCCTGCCTCAGACTGCGGGGGGGGGGGGGGGAGGCCTGAAACTTGAGCAGGTGTGAAAGTGCTTGTGCCCCCCCCCCAGCCTGGCCCCCGTGAGCCCGGGGGGAGTTGTACCCTTGAGCTTGAGGGCAGTTTGGAGAAGATCCCCTCAGGCCCTTGAGAGGGGAAGTAACTCCCCCCCGTGAAGGGAAGGGGCAAGACTCACCCCGTGGGGACCTCGGGGACAGACCGGTTGCGGGCCAGAGGCAGGCTCACCCAGTGGCTCCCTGCTGCTTGAGCAAGAGGCCCTTGCAGGGCTGAGCCTGCCCGCCCTCTGGGTTTGGAAACCCTCCCCGCTAAGGGGAAATAACCCGCCCGTGGCCACACAGCTGGGAAGTAGCGCAAGGAGAAACAGTTCCCCTGGGCCCCGTGGGCTTCTGCCATCCACCGTAGCGGGTCACGGAACAGATCCTCACAAAGGGACGATGCTCACACTCACCCCAGACTGCAACAGTTTGGTGGGCCTGTGTGACCAGGGCTGGTGGGCAGTCGGGGGGCTGGCCCTGGAGTCTGGCTGTTGCAGAGGCCCCGGTGGCCTCTTTTCTGTGCTTTTTCTATGCGTCTGTGTGTCACTAATTATGTGAGCCAGTGCGCAAAGACCGAGTCACATGGGCTGAGTTTCCTACGGGGGCCAAGGAAAGAGTGTTTGTCTCCGGCCTGGTGGCCCGTGACGGGGCTGCTTCCAGAGAAGCCCAGTGCCCCCGCTCTGGCCTGATGGCTCCAGCCAAGCAGAGAACCCTGCCCAACCACCAGGCCAGCAGTTCCCCATCCCTAGCCCTGGCCATCCCCACCCCACCCCCAACACCTCCCCCGGCAGACAGCTTCTCCCCGCTAGGCCTTGCTCAGAGCGGCCGTCCTTCCAGAGCGCCTTCCTGAGGTCCTCAGGCTGCTGTGCGCCCGAGGGCCCTCGCAGTGACCAGCCGCCGGTCCCCAGGTGGTGGTGAACGCGCTGCTGGGAGCCATCCCCTCCATCATGAACGTGCTGCTCGTCTGCCTCATCTTCTGGCTCATCTTCAGTATCATGGGCGTCAACTTGTTTGCTGGGAAGTTCTACTACTGCATCAACACCACCACCTCCGAGAGGTTCGAGATCTCGGAGGTCAACAACAAGTCCGACTGCGAGAGCCTCATGCACACCGGCCAGGTCCGCTGGCTCAACGTCAAGGTCAACTATGACAACGTCGGTCTGGGCTACCTCTCCCTCCTTCAGGTGGTGAGTGTCGCCCGCTGCCCCTGCCCAGAACTGGGATTCGGTGCCTTCCAGCCTATGCTTGTACTGGAAACCACTGTCAGTCCTATTAGGGGCCACCCACCTTGCCTCCAGCGCCGTGGACCCGGAGGTAGCGTCCAGGTCTCTCTCGTCTGTTTGACACTTGCTCAGTGGAGTTCTGGAAGGGGCGCCCCCAGACAGGGCCTTGCTGGGGAAGGAAGGGAGAGGCATGCGTGAGTTTCACCTCTCCTAGGCCACCTTCAAGGGCTGGATGGACATCATGTACGCAGCCGTGGACTCCCGGGAGGTGAGTCGGGTCGCTGAGACGCGGCTGGTGAGTGAGCCGGGGGAGAGTGCCACAGCGGCACATTCCGCATCCCTACCCCACCGCGCCGTCTCCTTGGGAGCCCCCGCAGCCTGGGGGTGGGGGGCCTGGCCACAGTCTTTGAAGAGCAGGGGGAAACTCGTGTCTGCACCTCACTCCGTCCCATCCGATATTCCCTGCAGCAGGAGGAGCAGCCGCAGTACGAGGTGAACCTCTACATGTACCTCTACTTCGTCATCTTCATCATCTTTGGGTCCTTCTTCACCCTCAACCTCTTCATCGGCGTCATCATCGACAACTTCAACCAGCAGAAGAAGAAGATGAGTATCTGGCCCGCCTTCCCCGGCCCCACCGCCCCCGCCCTGTCTCCTGCTTCCCCTCCCCCAGCCCCTGTGGTCACCGGCTGCCTGACAGCCAGCCCAGTTCCAGATCCCACCAGGGGACCTTGCCCAGTGACCTCATTTTCCTGATCCATAAAATGATATTGCTACAGCCTAGCTTGCTGGGTTATTCTAAGGGCTCCGTGAGATATTGCTGGAAATCAGCCCAACACAGGCTTCAAGGCAGCATTGGTGCTTTCCCTCTGTCACCCCCACACCGCCCTTCTCTGGACCCTTAATCCCTCCCCGGTCCCTCTATCTTTGTCCCTCTATCTTTGCCCCCCCCCCCAGTTATCTCCTCCTGCCTACCAGGCGTTTCTGCAGGGGTGGGGGCTGCCTTAAAGGTGGTGCCTGAGGTAAGGGAGTCTGAGAGGCAGAGGAGGGCCTCACCCCAACCTTATGAGCCCTATCCCACTGTACTTTGGAGGAAAAGACATCTTCATGACAGAGGAACAGAAGAAATACTACAATGCCATGAAGAAGCTGGGCTCCAAGAAGCCCCAGAAGCCGATTCCACGGCCCCAGGTACTGTGGGCCCTCCTCCTGTGTCCTGCCCCTGGCTCTGCCCAAGGGGTTTATGAGGGTGAAATTCAGCCTGCGCTCTGCCCACTGGGCGGGCAGGGTCCATCCTCAGGGCGTCATGGCCGCACGTGTGCACACCCAGATTCAGGTCACTGGCTTAACCTTCACCTGCCCCTACACACACCACCCGTGTCCACCCACCTCCTCTCCTGGGACCCTTAGTGGCCTCTGGAGGCGGGGCTTTGGGTGACGGGAGGTGACTGTGAGTGGGGAGCGGAGAATTTAAAGCTAGGGAGGGTCAGAGTAAGAGGGATTTCCACGGACCCGCAGAACGCTGTGTCCCAGGCCCTCCCCGCCTGTGGCCGGTTCCAGCACCACTCCTGATAGCTCTGTCTGTGTCCTCCCTGTCATCCTGCCCCGGCGCTGACCCTGTGCTCCACCCCGCATCCACTCACGTGCTGCAGAACAAGATCCAGGGCTTGGTGTATGACTTCGTGACAAAACAGGTATTTGACATCACCATCATGATCCTCATCTGCCTCAACATGGTCACCATGATGGTGGAGACGGATGACCAGAGCCAGCTCAAAGTGGACATCCTGTACAACATCAACATGATCTTCATCATCATCTTCACGGGGGAGTGTGTGCTCAAGATGTTCGCCCTGCGCCAGTACTACTTCACTGTCGGCTGGAACATCTTCGACTTCGTGGTGGTCATCCTGTCCATTGTGGGTGAGCTGGCAGGGCGGTGCCCACGGGGGTCACTGAGGAAGGCTCTCTGCACGCGCCTGGCACACTCACACCCAAACACACACGTGTATACCTGCCAATCACTCTTAACACACAGAGATACACGTAGGCAGCCTGTGACCTGCGCACACACAAACACGCCTGGAGAGATCCAGGGACCTAGCCAAGTGTGGTGGCACATGCCTGTAATCCCAGTGCTCAGAAGAATCAGCTTAGTGACTTAGTGAGATTCTGTTTCAAAATTAAAAATAAAAATTTTTAAAAGGCTGGTTCAATACCCCATGGCACCAAAAAGACAGACAGACAGACAGACAGGCAGACAGACAGACATGGGCCTGACCAGTAGATGTACACTTGGGTGTCCTGTGAAAAACATAAGACAGTCTCACTGTCTGCATAGTCCTGAAAAGTGTATGGACACACATATCGCTGTAATAGGTAAGCCACCCTTTACTGAGCACTTGCTATATTCCTGGCACTGTGCTATGCACTTTGCAGGTATCATCTTACTCATTGTTTGTAGCAACTCTGTGAAGCGGGTACTGTCATCACTCCCATTTCACAGAAGGGGAAATGAGTCGCAAACAAGAGACATGCCCAGCGTCACACAACTGTCTTACCCATGCCACGCCGTCTCGTGTACGGCACCTACAAACAGCCTTCACCCCATCAGCTTTGCCGTATGCCATCCCCAGCTCCACCAGGGCAGAGAAGGGCCCCTCGGAGAGCCCAGCCTGACCGGTCGGGGCATCGGGGCTGTGCTTAGAGGGTGAAGCCCCCCTGCCCCTCACAGGACAGCCGATGCCCTGAGCCCTGCTCGCTGACCCAGCTCCCGCTCCTCCCTGCAGGCCTGGCGCTCTCTGACCTGATCCAGAAATACTTCGTGTCACCCACGCTGTTCCGTGTGATCCGCTTGGCGCGGATCGGGCGCGTCCTGCGGCTGATCCGCGGGGCCAAGGGCATCCGGACGCTGCTCTTCGCCCTCATGATGTCCCTGCCCGCCCTCTTCAACATCGGCCTGCTGCTCTTCCTGGTCATGTTCATCTACTCCATCTTCGGCATGTCCAACTTTGCCTACGTCAAGAAGGAGTCGGGCATTGACGACATGTTCAACTTTGAGACGTTTGGCAACAGCATCATCTGCCTCTTTGAGATCACCACCTCGGCGGGCTGGGACGGGCTGCTGAACCCCATCCTCAACAGCGGGCCCCCAGACTGCGACCCCACGCTGGAGAACCCTGGCACCAGCATCAAGGGCGACTGCGGCAACCCATCCATCGGCATCTGCTTCTTCTGCAGCTACATCATCATCTCCTTCCTCATCGTGGTCAACATGTACATCGCCATCATCCTGGAGAACTTCAACGTGGCCACCGAGGAGAGCAGTGAGCCCCTGGGCGAGGACGACTTCGAGATGTTCTATGAGACGTGGGAGAAGTTTGACCCCGACGCCACGCAGTTCATTGACTACAGCCGCCTCTCTGACTTTGTGGACACCCTGCAGGAACCGCTGAAAATTGCCAAGCCCAACAAAATCAAGCTCATCACTCTGGACCTGCCCATGGTGCCGGGGGACAAGATCCACTGCCTGGACATCCTCTTTGCCCTGACGAAGGAGGTGCTGGGTGACTCTGGGGAAATGGATGCGCTCAAGCAGACCATGGAGGAGAAGTTCATGGCCGCCAACCCCTCTAAGGTCTCCTACGAGCCCATCACCACCACCCTGAAGAGGAAGCACGAGGAGGTGTGCGCCATCAAGATCCAGAGAGCCTACCGCCGGCACCTGCTACAGCGCTCCGTGAAGCAGGCGTCCTACATGTACCGCCACAGCCAGGACGGCAGTGGGGACGGAGCCCCTGAGAAGGAGGGGCTCATCGCCAACGCCATGAGCCAGATGTACGGCCCTGGCAGTGGGAAGAGCGGCGTGCAGAGCCAGGGGCAGGAGGAGGGCTCCACGGCGGACCCCGGACCGGCCATGGGGCTCACGCCCATCACCCCCTCAGACGCCACCCTGCCTCCCTCCCCACCACCAGGGCAGACGGTGCGCCCAGGGGTCAAAGAGTCTCTGGTCTAGCAGGCGGCTGACAAGGTGGCCAGCTGAGCCTCTGCACAGGTCCAAAGCTTCCCGAGCGCCTGCGTGCTGGCTGAGGGAGCAGGGCTTTGAGTCTGGGACTACATCCGCTCCCCGGTGGGGGGCGGGAGCTGGCCGTGCTGGCTGGGTCTGACACCCAGGCCTTGAGCGTGGGAATTGCACTCAGGGACCCGAGCTGGGCTGACGCCCCTGCCTCCGTGGTTTCATCTTCGGGTTGCTCTGACCTCCTCAGGGGCCCTGCTGCCCCTCCTCTTGGCCTGAGAGAGGTCAGAACACGAGGATCTCTGCCCCCTAGGTAGGGATGAGCCAGCCTACAATGGAGGCTTGGCCGCCCTCCTGTCACCAGAGTCTTAAGGGCTACTGCCCTCTCCCCCAGGAAGTGGCCCAAGGCCCCCAGCTCCAGGCCAGACATCTTCACCTCAGCAAGTACAGACAGCCGGCCTCTGGACTCAGCCAGCCTCCCCGCTCACTCCTACCTGCTCAGGAGTTCCCTGGAGAAGGGAGGTGTTACTGGTCCAGAAATTGCTCCACAAACTTGATTGGCTACTGGATCTTGGGCTGGTGCTGACTCCTGAAACCTCCTCCTGGGCCATGTCTAGGCCCATGGATAGAGCCCCCGACTGACCCCGGCAGAGGAGCAGAGGGAAGGGTTCCACTCGGAAAGTACCTTTCCTGTGAAGCAGGGGTGTGAGATACAGGCTAGGCCCTGCCGGCTGTGTGGCTACACCTGGCCTGGGTAAATCAGGGATCCTGACGCTGATAGGAAGATCCCGTGCGTTCCCTTCTTGTCTGCTCCTGCCTTCGTTAGACCATCAGGGCTCCTTGCAGCCCCATCCACCCTCAGCCCCATGTCACGTTTTCCCCTGCCTATCTCTTCATGCCTACGCATCCTTCTCGCTTAACGTGAGCCTGAGAATGTTCTAGAGGAGCTCATGTGACAGGGGTGGACGCTGGGGTGTGCAGCAGACATGGCTCGCCTGGTTTGGGCTCCACCTTCCAACTGCCTGCTGCCTGGCACCGCTGACCTGGACATGGTGACATCAGTCTTTGCTCCTGGAGAACAGAGGCCCAACTGGGAGGGTCTGAGAGTCCTCCTCAGGGGCCTGTGGGTTCTGTCACCTGTGTGTGTGTGGCTGTGTGTCTGCCTGTAGGCCTGAGTAGACAGCTGTATGTGTGTTCAAGTTCATGCTGTGTGTATGAACCATTGTAGTGTCTGTGGAAGCATGTGTGTGCCTGGGTATCTTCGTATCTGTGTGTGTCAGCGTGCCCCGGAGCGTCTGCAGTCTGTGTGAGTGTGGCTGGTGAGTGTGTGAGTGTGCACATGTGTGTGTGTCTTCTGTGTCAGCCTGTTCATGTGGGTGTGCCTGTATCTGAGAGAACAGACCCGTGCCCTGAAGGTGTGGGTGAGTGTGACGTGTGTGGTAAGGCTTGTGCCTTGAGTCTCCTGTTGGCCTAAGTCCCTCTTCTTTTTCTTCTTGTTTCTCGTGAATGTTTGATTAAAACTCAGGAAGCAGCAAAACCCTCCAAACAAGATGTGTACGTGCACGTGTACGAATGTGTGCACATGCACACGTGCCCGCGGGCCAGAGCCTTCCTTCCTGTCTGCCCTGTTCTCTTGCCCCTCCAGGTCCTGCCTTGGGATCCCTCTCCCCTCCTCCTACAAGCTTCTCTCTTCCCATTCCTGTTTCTAGTCATCATGCCTGCTCCCTGCTCCCTGTCTATGGAGGGACGCCTCAGCGCCTTCCATCTTGTCCTGCCGTGACTCTGTCTCCCCCTGTGAAAGGTACCTGTGCCGCCCCCTTCCCAGCCCTCTGCCCCTCTGGCATGGACCCCAGAGCCTTGGGAACCTGTTGGATTGGATGTTCTCCGTCCACTGCAGAGGAAGAGCAGACAGGCAGGGCCTGGCTTCTCCCTGCCTGTGGAACCTCTTCCCTGCACACTAAAACACCCATTCCTACCTCGGCCAGGTGGGAACCAGCCTGGAGCCAGGCTGGAAGACGAGGTTCTTTGTACAGTTCTTAAATAAACCCTCCCCTGGTGCCTCAGAAGTGCGGCTTCTCCTTTCTGCACCTCCACAAGTGGATGTGGGTGAGAGCTGAGGGCAGCAAGAAGAAAGAAGGGCGGTGGGCAGTCTGCCGAGAGAGGGGATAATGAGGGAGCCTCCGGGCGGGACATGGCGGGCCCAGTCCCACCCTCCTATCCCTCCAAACAGGCAGCTCCCAAGACACACACGTGGCGACCCTGTGTCCCAGCCACTGCCCGCCACGAGCTCCCGCCAGCTCTCTGCTCCCTTAGAGACACCAAGGAGACTGTTGAGCTCACAGTCTTCTGTCCCCTTGGGAGAGTTCTGTGCCCGTCCTTGAACCAGAGAGTCCAGGGTCACATGGACCCGTGTGCAACAGAGAGTATTCTTACGTAGCAAACTCGGCCCCCAGGTCCGGTGGGTGACATGTAATTTGATAAGTACATTTTCTGTAACGACTTCTGACTCCTGAGTTCCTCCAAGCTAGTGAACGCCCGCTCCTTTTCCGAGTTTCTGTGCCCACCTTTCCTGGGTCCTGGGGCTGTGTAGCATGGCGAATGAAGGGCACACGTCATCCCTGACCCGCAAGCTGCCCCAAGACGTCCCTCGGCTGTCGCTGCGTCCCTTCCCACCTCACAGCTCTCTTTGCATGTGGAGGGGGCTGCTGAGCGTCCCTGCAGGGGTCTCTGAGCCAGGGCACTGACCCCTGCCTCTGGAGACGGCTCATTCTCACTTCCGGTGTCGCCAGACCTCCGGCTCTGAGCACAGGAGGACTGCAGGCTGCCAAAGCCGCTCCTGCCGTCAGTACTTCTGACCCACGCATGCAAAGGCACCTGCTGTGAGCAGCAGCATTGCCTCCAGCAGGTATAGCTCAGTGGTAGAGCATTTGACTGCATAATTACCTTCAAATGGTTCCAGACAGGGGACCCTGGAGAACCACTGTGACATGGGGAGGCTTTAGCTGGTACCCTAGGATTTGAACTCAGCAGGCCACCCAGGCAAAGGGTGGGGAGTAGGAGGGGGTGGGAGTTCTCCCTTCCCTGAGACTCCCCCCCCCATCCTTCCCGGGGTGACTGAGGTCCCTTGCCCCACCTGAGTCCCTCGCCCGTCTTCCTATCCTCCCATCTCTTGTTTTGACTCTGTCTTCCTGGAAAGCAGGGAATGCCAGGTGTCAGCGCGTGGAGCCCGGGGCAGCCAGGACAGAGGCGGGGGCAGGCTCCCGAGGCCAGGAAAGAAAGGGTCATGAGCCCAGGACAGGGCTTGGAGCTGCTGTCACCAGGAAGGGAAGAGTACAGCCCCAGCTGAGACAAATAACTCTGCAGGTGGCCACAAGCCCCGCCCCGCTGTCTCACCCTCCTGAAAACAAGTCTCTGGTTGGCATGAATGGGAATGAGGTCCAAAGAGCACATCTGCACCCCACCCATGGGGCTGATGACGCACGTGCGCTTGGCGATACCAACTGCCCCTACAATCCCTGTGCCCCCCCGCAGTCACCCCAGGCCCCAGGGCCAGCTGCTCAGCAGGCCCCACATGGCCTGGGCAGCACACACATGCGAGCATGCGCCCTTGCACATGTGTGTGACCCAAGCCTTTCCCGATGTCCTCTCATCCCGGAGGACACCAGCCTCGAAGCTACCTAAGATCTCCATCGCCAGGGGCTCGGCAGCGGGTACACTTTGCTAACGGGAGAAATCCCCAGATTTCCTTCTACACCCTGGGCTGGTCTCTCTGCAGCCACTGTCACCAGCACTTGTCAGGGCCCGTGATCCCTACGCTGACCTCAGGTGATGTTCTTATCCCTGAGCTGTTTGTTCTGTGAGCTGAACACCTGACACCTTTTCAGAGAAATGTTGTTGTTCTTTTTTTTTTCCATTTGGAACATCTGGAAATAATCAAGAACACCTGGGGCTGCCCAGAACGAGCTGTCCCTTAGATGAACACGTAACCCTTGTAGCCCTGGCTTACATGGCTCAGGTCCTGATCCGCAATGTTCAGAGCAGGATGGAGGTGGGTGTCCCCTAGACCCTCTGCCTTCCAACCCCGCCGTGGGAGGAGCTCCCTAAGCCCAAGCAGACCCGCCAACCTCACAGGCTGAGAATGGAGGCTCATGGGAATGGAGACGTGGACAGAAGGCACTGAAGATTTGCATCTGTTTTCCTCTCCTGGGGAGCGGGAGATGAGAACAAGTGAGGGGACAGGAGAGAAAATAGTTGCCGGGAGGCATAAAACTCCCAGAAGTCTCGGCTGCAGGGCTGAGGCCTGCAAGCCTGCTCTGTGCAGCTCTGCAGGTGGCACCATGCATGAGGGCCACCCCCAAGCGGACCCTGGGGAAGGGACACAAAGCTAAGCTTAGATGAACTCCCGAACGTTGTGATTCCATCCTCAGCTCTGCTCACTGGAAGGCCACAGCCAGAGCTCTCAGAACCTGAGGGCTCCTCCACATTCACCCCGGGGACACCGCCCAAGATCCTCTGGAGCCGTGGGCAATATTTCAGTGGCCTCAGAGTCCCAAAGAGCTCCTAGGAGACGCCCCTCATTGTTAAGCCGTAGACGGTCTCTAATCCACCTCTGCCATGTCCGCTCCCTTTGGCAACCCATAGCAAACTCGGCACAGCCTGAGGAAGAGGCCCCTCATCAGGGCCAGACCATGTCTGCTCCCAAGTAGCTGCCACCTTGGTCTCAAGAACGTCGAAGGTTCCCTTCCTCCACAGGTCCAACTTCCAATACGGCCACCTGCTGGCCAGGCAAGAGTCTCTGCTCTGGACCCTGTCAGGCGCCTGGCCCGGTTTCACTGTGGACGCCTGCCCTTGTCCTATGCCCTTGTCCTATGCTCACCCAAAGGGCGAGTGTGGTCTCATGCAGGGGGACTGAGCTCAGATTCATTCATTCATGCGTAGCTAAGTACCAAGGGAAGAACACTTATAGGGCTCTGCAGACTGCAGAGGGTCGGCCGGCACACCGGGATGAGCACCAATGGGGCGGGGACCCGGGGAGGGAATAAAGGCTTCGCCCCTGTGCAGGACATCTTCCCAGGGCCCCGGCTATCCTGCCCAAGCTGGGCCATCTTCAAGCCCTAGTGGTCCAGCTGATGAGCGCTGCCCGCCCTCCCCCAGAGTCCCCAGAGAGCTGGTGCCTCCCTTGGGTCCCAATTTGCATGGCAGGAAGGGGCCCGAGGGGGAAGAGGCAGGGAGGGGACAGGCGGCAGCCCAGCAGTGACACATTTCCCTCAAGAAACTTGGACGTGGTCACAGGCGCAGGGACAGATCGGCAAGCATGGCCGGGCTGGTGCTGTGTCCCGCAGCCGGCAGCTGGACGGTGCTGCTGGTGCTGCTGCTCTCAGGTACGGCTCCCTGCGAGGCCACTGGCTTCGCTCTGCGGCCTGGGCTCAGCTCCCGCTCTCTCCGCTTCCTCCTACAGCTCGCGCTCTGCTTTCTGCCTCCCCGCCACTGACCCCAAGCCCAGGTCTGTGCGTCTCAGCCTTGGCGGTGGGCCTGCTCAGGGTCGGCAGCCACAGCCCCTCTTCCACCCGGAGGGTGTCGGGCTGAGCTGAGCACCAGGGCAATCCGAGGCGGCAGCTGAGATGGTGGAAGAGCTGTGGATGGCTTGCGCCGAGCCCTCGAAGACCCTACATGGGGGGACACAGGGGAGAGGCTTCCCCAACCAGACCGAGGGAGGTGCATGTTTACCGAAATGCCCCCCCCCTTGTCTGGAAGGTGGGAGAGCCCTCCCAGCTGCGACTTCCTTCCTGTCTCACTGCACGCCTCTTAGCGCCATCCTGAGCGTCCAGGACAGAGAGGAGCCGGAGGTGGGGTTTCCGGCACCTCTGCCGCGCTCCTGTCTCCCCAGTGCAGGGCAGGGGCGGCTGAGGGACCTTGAAGCTACATGCTGGGAGGAGGAAGTGGCTTAGGAACGCAGAAGTCGTAGGGGTGGGACGGCCAGCTGAGGACAGAGAAGCCTGACCTGGTCCCACGCACTTCCTCCCCCCCTCCAGGTGAGCCGGTGTCACCAATGAAGAGCGAGGACATGTACCTGAACCCCAACGGTCAGTACCCCCGCTCGCCACCTCTGGGGCATCTCTGTGGTGAACCCCCATCCCCGCCCCCGGGACTGCTCTCTTCCCGTCCTTGCCTGGGCCTCCCCATCCACGAGTCCTGTCCTCAGGCTTCCTTCGGGCCCCCCTCTAAGGCCCCTCCCCAGCCAGCTGTCACCGTCATCAGACCGATGTGCTCCAGGCCTGGCCCTGGGGTGTTGGGTCAACCTGGGTCAGAGCTGGGAGGCAGAGAGGATTCCACAGAGGCCTCAGGCCTGGGTCTGTCTAGGGGGGAGTCAGCCCCAGGTTGGGGATGAGCCCATCAGGACAGGGCTCAGGGGTTCCCCAGAAGCCAATAGCTGAGCCCAAGGCAGAGGGAGCCTCCTCAGAGCAGGTAGGAAAGCTTCCAAGCTGACAGTCCAGGCACAAAGGGCAACAGGGCCGCTCAGTAGGGTAGAGGAGGCTGCTGGAGGAGGCTCTCACTGGGCAGGCTAAGGATTCCGCCTTTATCCCCTGGGAGCTACGGGGAGCCCTTGAAGATTCCAGGTAGATGCAGGGCAGTTCAGGGAAAGAGTTGCTGGGAGCACTGGGCCAGGTCCCAGGCTGTCCCGTGGGCCACCTGGGCTAGGGGTGAAGCCTGGGTCTGGCTGTTTCAAAGGGCATAGAGAAAGGTCAGAAGGTTCCAGCGCCCTGCTAAAGGACACTCCAATGGGCGGAGGGGCAGTCAGGAAGAGGCGGATCCAGTGACTTAGTGTGTGGCCCGGCACACGGCTTGACCCCCCTCCCACACACACCTGAGCCTCCTGACTACCCCACACCCTCAGGAGCAAGGACAGGCAAGGCAGACTGAGCCACGGTCGCTGCCCGCCCAGGGCTGGCGTCTGCAGGAGAGGCTGGCACCCAGGGAAATGCCAGCGTGGATTCTGAGCCTGGCCTTGCTGCCCACAGGAAGTGCTTGTTCCCGGATCTGGCAGCACCCCCGTTTCGTGGCCAGGAAAAGGGGCTCTGTGGTAAAGATGCGGTGCCACACGGACAGCTCCAGCCTCTCTAGCATCGTGACCTGGTTCCGGAAGCAGGAGACGGACAAGGAGTCCCAGAAGCTGTCCCCGGAGCAGGGCCACATCCTGCAGACCCACAACGGCACCGTCCACACCCTCACCATTCAAGGCATCCAGTTTGAGGACAACGGCATCTACTTCTGCCAGCAGGAGTGCAGCGGGAAGCACCCCAGCGTCTTCCAGGGCTGCGGCACAGAACTCCGAGTCATGGGTGTGTGCCGGGTGGACGGGGTGTTCATGTAGCCGCCCATACCCAGCTCTAGCCAGCCCGCCACGGGGGGTGAGCAGCCGCACACTGAGGTAGCTACGGGCCCCGGAGCACCCAGCACAGCTGCTGGAGAGCAGGTCCTGAGGGGTTACGAAGGACCGCCCTGCAAGTTCACTGGGTGGGGTGCGGGCACTCCAATAAAGCACTCAGCCGGGCATCCTGGCCCTCCCTCAGGGTTCAGCACCGTGGCACAGCTGAAGCAGCGGAATACACTGAAGGACGGCATCATCATGATCCAGACCCTGCTCATCATCCTCTTCATCATTGTGCCCATCTTCCTGCTGCTGGACAAGGTGACCATAGGCCCCGGGGTGGAGACACAGGGCAAGCCAGATGGGCGAGGTGTCCATGTGCCCAGCCCCTGTAGCCTCTGGCTTGGCCTAGCCCCGCCCCCGAGCGCGTCCACGGGCGCACCTGTTCACGCACACTCCTCCACTCGTTCACTTGCTCTCTCACTCCCGCCCCCTCACCCAGACCCGGGTCCCTGGTCCTCCCCAGCCCGGCCCAACATGGGCTGAGGCTGGGGGAGGCACGCACTCTGATCCCCACCCCTTCCCTGCACCCCCTAGGATGAAGGCAAAGCCGGGATGGAGGAAGACCACACCTATGAGGTAAGAACAGGCTGGCCTAGAGGCCGGAGCTGAGCGGTCGGTGGCCCCGCAGGTACTGGTGCAGTCAGGGCGTGGCCTGGGCCTGAACTCTGTCTCATGTCTGCAGGGCCTGGACATTGACCAGACAGCCACCTATGAGGATATAGTGACTCTGCGGACAGGGGAGGTGAAGTGGTCTGTCGGGGAGCACCCGGGTCAGGAGTGAGGAGCTAGCCCCTCACCCTAGGACGGCACCTGGGCCTCACTGACTGCATCGGAGCTGCCTGGTTCATGGCCCACCCCCTCCTCCCTGGACCCCCCGCCGGCCTCTGAGGCCAGCCCGCCAGAGCCACCTCCCCGTCCAGCTATGGGTCCCCAGCTCCTACAAAGGACCTAGCACAGAAGGACAACACACAGCGACTTGGAGCGGGGCGTTCTCTGGGGACAGACTGGGCCCAGCCTTCTGTGGGTGCTATGCAGGATCCCCGCCTCTGGGACACGAAAGCAGAGACTGGTTGAAAGCTGCAAATGGACTCAAAGCAGACTAGCTTCATAGAGGGCCTTGGAAGGGCCGTGGCCCCCAAGGACCCCAGGACGGCCATCGAGAACTCCGTTCCTCTCTCCCATCCTCTCCCACCTAACGGCGCACCGTGCCGGAGCCCATTCTCCCATGGAATAAACCGTGTGTCTGACAACCCCCACGTGGGCACACGACTTCTCAGGGGTAGAGTGGGTGGGTACGGCCTCTGAATGTGACACCAGGGGCCTACCAGGCTGTGGGAGCAGGGACTGGAGGCCCAGTTGGGGTCGGTGGTTATACCCCCTGTCATCTCCCTGCTGGCTCTGGCCGGGCCAAAGAAGAAAGGTGACCCAGCTGCTCCTTCCGCTGGGCAGGGTGCTGTCACCTTCACCCCATTGGGTTGCAGCAGCAACTGAGTCCTGGTTGCTGTGTAGGGCTCCCTCCCACCCAACCTGTCCCAAACCACCTGAGACCCTCTGCCCATGGGCAGCCCTCCCAAAGCACCCTGGGCACTGCCCCTGCCGGGTGCAGATCCAACTGGCCAGCTGTGGGCTCGGCTGCTGCCTGGGCAGTTCACTTGGCTGTGGTTCTCCAATTAGACTAGAAGTTGCCTGAGAGTAGGGCTTCCCCGGTTCTACAATACCTCTTTCCCCTCCCAGGGTCCCAGGTCCCTGGACCTCCCCAGCCTGGGTATTGTACCCGGGTACAATACTCCTTCCTCCACTAAGCCTGGAACTTTTCCTTTACAACCTGACCCAGGGCCACTCAGAGAAAAAATTCCTAAAGAGGAAGGTTTCATGTGATAACATTTGAGGGTCCTTAAGGGACGCTTTCAGATGTTCCCAGCATCATCACATCAGAGGCACCCTAAGGCCTCAGGCTCTCCACAGAACGGTCCCGGGGTACCAGCTTCAGGAATAACTGGAATCAGCTCATAGCTGGGAGGTGAAGGGCGATCAACCTGCCTAGGCAAAGCCTCCCCCAAGCTAGTCTGTGCTCCACTTCCCGCTGACCTAAGGGGAACCCCAAAACTCTTCTCTGCCATTTGAGCTCTGGACTTCGGCCGGCAAATCCCCACCCCGAGGGAGCTTCCAGTTTACCTGAAGAGCCATGTGGGGGCCGCTGAGAGAAGCACAGCTTTTTTTTTTTTTTTTTCAGTAGGGCTTCATGCTAAACTGCGTCCCAGCCCTTATTTATTTATTTATTTATTTTGTTTTGCTTTGAGGCAAGATCTCGGTAAATTACTAAACTGCCCAGATTGAGCTTGGATTTGCGATCCTCCTGCCTCCCTGCTGGGTTCAGGTTTACAGGTGTGTGCCGCCATGCCACCTGAGAAGCATCACTTTTTAGCAGGTCCCCTCTGGGGCTCCCGGGTGGCCGGCGGGAAGGCACTCACACCTCCAGTTTCAGGTCAGTATCTCACTGCTCCACAGGGCCCGCTCTGGCCCCGCTGGCTGAGGCTGAGGCAGCCAGGCCCGGCTCCCTCCCTGGTCTGAGGTTGCCAGAGGGAACGGGCTTGTTTTGAGCTCTGCCTCCACTGAGCTGGAGCCCTCGCTTTCCTGCTGCTTTGCATAGTGGAGCTAATTCTGTCCCCTCCCTCCACCAGGGACCCAGGCAGCCAGCCAAGGTGGGGGAGTCTTCACTTCTGCCCTAGGCAAGGTCTGCCCCTGCTGGGGCTGCCCTGGCTCAGGGGAAGCTTTGGCTTTACCAAAAAACTAACACCTCTGAATAACTGCGTTCCCCTAAGGCTTTGAGGTGCTTGTTGACAGAGTCATTTGGGCAGGCAGCTCCCATCACCGCCAGACGCCCCCAAAGTGCGGTAGTATTCCTAGGTTAAAATGGAGAAGCCCTCCCAGATGCTTTTGTTTAGGAGCTCATATTTTTGGTATCCTCCCAGAATCGACTCAGGCAGTAGAAACCTTCCTGGGTGATGATAGCAGGGTGAAGAACATTCCAGACCTCAGTTGCTTTATCTGTAAAATGGGAATCATAAAACCTATCTGGAGCTAGGCGTGACAGTGCACATCTATAATCCCAGCTACTCAGGAGGCTAAGACAGGAAGATCATTTGAGCTCAGGAGTAGGAGGCCAGTCTAGGCAACATAGCAACCCAATCTCAAAATAACCCCCAGTCTATCCAAAGGAAAGGAATTGAAGCATTTGCCTTTAAAAAAAAAAAAAAAAATCATGTAACAAAACTGAGTTTGTTTTGTTCTTGTTCACTGGGTTTGGTTTGGTTTTTTGAGACAGGGTCTTACCATGTAGTTCAAGCTGGCCTTGAACTCACTATGTAGCCAAAGCTGGCCTCATACTCACAGAGATCCTCCTGCCTCAGCCTTCCAAGTGCTTGGGTTTACAATCATGTGCCACCACACCCAGCCTGAGTTTGTTTTCTTTTGGTGTACAGTTCTATGAATTCTAGAACATATAGCTTTGTATAGCCACCTCTGTAATTTGTTCTTTTTTTTTTTATTTTTTTGGTATCAGGAATTGAACTCAGGACCTTACACTTGCCAGGCAGGCACTTGTGCCACTGAGCTATATCCCCAGGCCTACCTCCATAATTTGGATATAAAAGACTTAGGGCCGGGGAGACAGCTCAGCGACACAAGCACTTGCCTGGATATAAAACACTAACCAAAAAACAAAACATGAACCAAAAGCTTTTATTGGGCCCAGTAAGTATCCCACTGAACACCTCTTAAATGTCAATAATTTATTTTTTTCAATACCGGGCATCGAACCCAAGGCCTTCACACTGACTATATCTCTAGCCTTTTTTATTTACGTTTTATTTTGTTTGGCATTTTAGGGGGGTTGTTTGTTTTTGAGACAAGATCTCACTAAATTGCTCAGGCTGAGCTGGAACTTTCAATCCTCCTGCCTCAGCCTCTCAAGCAGCTTGGATTATAGGCCTGCACCGCTTTGCCAGAAATACCAACCAAATTTTATTGAGCACTCCCACTCTCATTTACATGACCTTGGTTAAGCTTCTCTACAACCCTGAAAGAGGGTAACCTTATCTCTGTCTTACCCCCGCCCCCCCCAAAACAGAGTCAAGGCCAGGGAAATGGTCAGACTTGGCCAGGAGTCACACACGGCCTCCTGACTCCAAACGAGCAACACATGACACTACATCACAGCGACCTCCTTAAAAGACTTCACAGCAGCAAGAATTTGAACCACAGGAGCAAGGAGAGGACTGAAGGAAGGGAATCCTGGGACAGTTTGGTTACCTTCAGAGTTGGCCCTGCGAAGAAGTTTGCTCTTCCCACCCTTGTGAACAGGCCTGGACCAGCTGCCCAGAATCCTCAAGAGTCTGCTCTCAGGCATTCTTGCAGGAGCCCAGCGCCTCGGCCCCTCCCCAGCAGGCAGCTGTGAGACCCCCCGGTGGGCATATACCCACCCCCCACAACTGGGGGACTCCAGCTGGGTCCCTGGGGACCCTGGTTTAAGCACAGGCTACTTCCTCCTCCACTCTAGCTTGACTTCCGGCCTCCTCTCTGCAGGTGCTGCTTAGCCTAGGTTGATCTGACCCAAGGCTGTGGGTGTTTTTCCTGAGGCAAGAAAAAAAAAACAAAAAATGTGAAAAGCCGCTGCTGTTTGGGCAACAAGGGCAGGTAGCATTCATCCTCAGCAAGGGTGTGACCTGGCTAGGCTGCCCGCTCAAAGGCCCTGGGGGCCGCGTTGTTTGGGATTCCTGGATTCTGTCCACTCCCTTTGGTCCCTTTCGGAGCAGGAGTCAGACCCCACGTTCCTAGATGCCTCCGAGGTCTCTGAGCTGCCCTGCTATGACTCACTCTGGTGCCACGTTGTCCTGCAAACCACCACCCTTCCCCTTGAGTCACTCCACCGCCCTGTCCACCCCAAAGGGCTTCACTTGGAAACAAAGGTGACTACCGAGAGCGAAACTTAGTGGACTTAAATACAGAGTTCAATCAGTGTGCAGTTTTAATGTTAAAATATATCTTTTTTTTTCGTTTTTGTCTTTGTGAGACAGGGTCTCACTATGTCCTCTGACTCTGAGCTCACTTTGCAGCCTAGGCTGGTCTCAAACTTGCAACGATCCTCCTGCCTCAGCCTCCCTAGTGCTGGGATTACAGGCACGGGCCACCATTCCCAGCAATGTTAAAATGCATCTTGATTGATCCTAATATGATCTCTAAAAAGTACTTTCTCCTTGGAGTTAAACTAGGGAAGGGAGACACTTCTTCTAGGGTCCAGGTTCCACAAGTTGCAACCTGATGAGAATGTTGGTGTGAACTTGAAATGGGCATTGACTCACACATGGCCTTGTGTATTTTTCATTTTTTAAATTTATTTATTTATTTATTGGGGGTACGGGAGATCAAACTCAGGACCTTGCACTTGCCAGGCAGGTGTTTGTGCCACTGAGCTGTATCCCCAGCCCTCATTTTATTTTTTTCATGTGCGTGTTGCTGTGCATTCAAGTTCCTGTCCTCATTATTTTAAAATAACTGAAGGAGGATATTGAGGCATGGCGTGGTCTACCTTGCCATTCCCAGCTGAAGCATTCCAGAGTTGGGCCTGTGAGCTCCTCTCTTGGTTCTGTCCTTCTGTTCACTTGTTCCACTCGGCAGATGCATTTGATTTGGTTTTTTGTTTGCTTGTTTGCTTGCTTTTCGTACCAGGAATCGAACTCAGGACCTTGTGCTTGCCGGGCAGGCACTTGTGCTGCTGAGCTAGATCCCCGGCAGCAGATGCGTTTGAATTTCCAGCCAGGCACTGTGACAGCTGGCCTGCTCCCTCTACTCCCTGGTTTATTCTCTCACCTCTATGTCGGCTATTTCCTTTCTGGTAGTTTTCCAATTTGAAACCTCAGTCTTTAATTTACCACTCTGTAGCATATTTGTCTGTTTGCTATTGTCTCTCTCGCCAGTAGACTCCAGAAGAGACGGGATCTTGTCTTTTGTTCATCGAGGTAGGCATATCTTCCTGGCACGATGTCTGCTATAAGTATGGACGGCAAGTACTTATTGAATCAGTAATGCCTGAATAAAAGGATGAATGAATGGATGAAAGGCAGGAATCCTCAGAGAGCTTGCAGTGCAGTAAAGGGAATGAGACGTCCACAGATAACCAGAGGATAAGATGTTACATTTAAGCCGGAGATATAGCTCAGCAGCACAGTGCCTGCCTGGCAAGCACAAGGTCCTGAGTTCAATTCCTGACACACACACATACACACACACACACAAAAAAAAAAAAATACACTTGATTTTAACCAAAAAGATGAGAAGTAATACCATAGGACAAGATAAAAGGAGGCAGCGGTTATTTCTAGCTGAGGAAAAGTATCCCAGACTTCCTACAACTTCTGGACATTAGTCCATAGTAATTTTTTTCAATGGGGATTTTCTCCCTAGGGAGTAATTCCCAAAGTGACGATTACTTAGCAAGTCCAGGAACGCGGGTTGTCAGGTACTTCTGTGGTGTTTGGAGAGCGCCGCCGCTCAGTATAAACAACACCCACATCAATACACAGCCGCGCCTGCCCCGTGCTCGCCACAGCTCTCACGGTCCTCCCTCCACGCTTGAATCCGCTGGCCGCAAAGTGGGGCAAACGCAAGGGTCCACTGAGATACAGGAAGTGAAAATGTGATGTACGCTGAAACGTGCAGTACGAATGTGAATCACGACACGAGCCGGTTCACGGAGTCAGGCTCCATCGAGTTGTTTTTTCTGCTGCTTTTCTTAGGGCCTTATTCTGAAGCTGATGCTCCTTGCGTTCGATTCCTGCCAGTCTCATGGAAGGTCTTCTCCACGGGGGCCTGAACCTTCCCCGCCGGCTTTGCACTGAGGGATGCCCTGTGCATGCCAGGCAATGCCACCGTCCTTACAGTGGAGGGCTTCTACAGGGCGTGGCATGGCAGAAAGCTCAGGGGCCCTGGGAGGCTGTTGCTTAGGAACCGGGAGACCTTGGCAAGAAGGCGCTTTCTTAGTAACGTTCAGGGTGCGCCTGGGGGTGATCGATGTGTAGGCCAGTCGAGCTATTTGACAAACTGCCAGATACGCTGAGAGGAATGCGTGCATTCCAACTTACAAAGCGAGCGCTCATTAAAGATGACTCAGGCTTCCTTCGGAGCCCGTGGAGGCTGACATGGGGGATGCTGATCACGGCCTCTCCCCGCAGGCTATCCGGAGACCATGGCTGGGCGGTCTCCGAACCTGAAGGAGTCAGAGGTGTCTGTGTGCCCCAAGCATGGGCGACTTCCCAAATCTAAGACAAAGTGCAGCTCCTTCTGGCACACATCCGCTGTACCCACTTTGTGTAACCATCAAAGTCTCCACCTCAGGCCTCTGCTCCGGGACAGGCTTCTTCCGAAGCCCAGAGTGTCCATGTCCTTGGCGTTAACTGGAAGTGTCTGACGTGGAGGCTCCAGGTGAGCGCCCCACCCCTGGGGACGCAGGATGAAAGACAGCAGGGGAGGCGAAGGCTGCCCGGGCTCAGGGCTCTCCTCCGCCTGCTCCCTGGCCCCCGCTCTGCGTGGAGCTGGGAGAAAGACAGAAAAGGATGCCTCTGACTTCCCTGCGGCCCCATCTGCCTCAAGCCTGTACTTCCAACCACACTGCCCCCAAGCCTGCCTGGAGAACCTTCCCCAGCGTCCCCGAGGCCTCTCAGGAGGTGACGCGTGGGAGTCCTAGAAGGAAGCCACGGCACGGCCCAAGCATTCCCGCTCTAGACCACAGGGGCGTGATTGTGCACTGTGGCCGTCCACGTCATCATCAACGTCTAACTGACCGCTTCTGTTTGCTCATCTTCAAGCGCTTGATGTTCTGAGACAGGGATGGAAGGCTTCCGCCGGGGGTGTGTGCTTTCCTGCCCTCAGCCCGGGGGCATTTGACTCTGAAGAGCTCCAGATGATGAAATTGCCTGGACCTGGCACCAGAGGCCAGAGGACACAGTCCAGCCTTCTCAGCCCTCGTTGTGTTCTGCCGGGAGGTTTCCCACACGTACCCCATCTCCTGGGTCGCTCTCGCCAGGGGCCAGAGGGAGACCAACCCAGGGAAAGACAAAGTGAGGCCAAGGCACCCTTGTAGTGAAGGGCAGGATCCTGGCATTCAGAGGGATTTAGAGTTAAAAATAACTGAGTGGCACCACACAGTCTGCTGGGAGAAAGGGCCCCGGATCATGGAACCCTGGGAGACCCAGGCTGCGGAGGGCTCCGGCTGCGGCGGATTTGGCCCAGGATGGTGATCTCTGCAACATGGGTGTGAATAACACCCTGTTCACACAACAGCTGTGAGAACGCCTAGCTACGCTCTTTATACCTATGCAGAGCTCTGGACAGACACTCAAACAAGGAAAAAGCGCAAGAAACTAAGCGACTACCTAGGGCACTGTCGCGGTGCTCTCCCTTGAGCTCTGTTGCTGGGAAGACCCAAGCCCTCAGAGGCTCGCCCTCCTTTGGAGTCTCTGAGGTTTCAGGGCACATGCAAGGAAGCGTTTTTGACCTGTTTCCGTTCCCAGGACCTGTGCTCCTCGGCTTGCGTCTCTGTGGCAGCTCTGAGGCGAGGTTTGATCATGAATCGTGACATGCCAACTTAAGTAAGAACTGCCCGGCAGATGAAAGTTCTGGCTGCGTCTGCATGGTTGATGTGCAGGCCGGTGAGTGGAGGAGAGAAAGACCTACCCCGGATGTCTGTGGCATCAACCATAGGCTTGTAGCCTGGGTGGAATGAAGAGGGAAAGGAGAAGGGAGATTTCTTCTCAGAGGAGCTCCGGTCCCTGCCACTGCCACTGGACACTGGTCTCCGGTTTCTTGAGCTTTGCAATGCAGGTTCGCACTGCTGACTACGGTGAGCTTCCAGGCCTTGGACCTTGGCTCTCCAGAGCAGATGGTCGTGTTGGGTTCTTCTACCTGTGGCCCTGTAAGCTCACCTGATAAATCCCTACCTACTGATTCTCTTCCTCTAGAGACCCTAACCAAGACTAGTGCAGCACCTCAGGCTGGGCTCCTCTAACCCACAGACACGAGGGGGAGAGAGGCAGGCGACATGTGGGGTCGATGCGCCCTGCTGGCTCTGTCACCAGCACACTCAGCTGCCTCAGCCCCACCCATGGGAGCGGTGGCACGAGTAAGGAATCTGGAGCTGAACGGTGCCCAGAACCCCCTAGAACTGATCGACTGTCTTTCGTCTCCTTCCCAAGCACGTAATTCTCGCTGGTGGGTGCCGGGAATCCATGCAGCAAAGAAGAAAGGGATAGGAGAGAGAACAGGAATGAGTCAGCCCCGCTCACAGGCATCCCGGCCCTGCCCCATCTTGGGGAGCTCTGGCGGGCTCCCTCTACCCCGGTGGACAGTACCACCACGGCTTCCTGCGGGGACGACCCTGGACTGCGCTGCTGTTACCTTCCCCTAAGGCCTCAGAGCGGGTGGTCAGTCTGAAGCCCTCTACGCCCAATCCTCAGGAGCCCCGTGAACGAGCAAGGGGACGATGACAAGCCCAGGGGCATGGCCCCCGGAGACCAGCGGGGACAGGATGAGTAGGAGGAGCTTCTAAATTATCCATTAGCACAAACCGTCATTTGTCCCATGCATAAATATATGGGGAAAACAGGCAGCAGCCTTGGGTGGGGGAGAAGGGCCAGGGTATAAAAAGGTCCCGCAGGGGACCAGCTCCAGAATCCCACAGTCCAGCTCCCCAAACGGATCAGGGTCCTGTGGACAGCTTGCTCAGCTGCAATGGCTACAGGTGAGTCCTTGAAGTCCCTTTGGGCATGGTATGGACCAAGGGGAGATGTGGGGGCCCTGCAGGTAGGATGGGGGTAATAATCCCTGGGCTTGGGGTTTCTGAATGTGAGTCTAGCCATCTAAACCCAACATTTGGCCATGCCGACAACGTTCTCAGGACTGTTGCCGGGCGTGGTGGCCCACGCCTGTAATCCCAGCACTTGGGAGGCTGAGGCAGGAGGATTGCTGCAAGTTCAAGACCAACCTGGGCTACAAAGTGAGCTCAAGGCCAGCCTGAACTGCATAGTGGGACCCTGTCTCAGAAAGACAAAAAAAAATTTATAGAATGTTCTCAGGACTTAGGAGTGCTGGGGGGAAAAGGAACTGCCTGGAGGGAGAGAGTGGTCCCCCGCCCTCGGGCCTCCCCACTCCCCGTCTCTCCCTAGGCTCTCGGACCACCTGGCTCCTAGTGTTCGCCCTGCTCTGCCGGCCCTGGCCTCAGGAGGCCGGTGCCTTCCCGGCCGTGCCTTTGTCCAGCCTGTTTGGCAATGCGGTGCTCCGAGCCCAGCACCTGCACCAGCTGGCCGCTGATACCTACAAAGAATTTGTAAGCTCCCCAGGGATGGGTACCTGGCCGGGGTGGTGAATTCCCCCTGGAAAGTCATGAGAGGAAGGTGAGGGGCCCAGGGCTGTGTGCAGGGCAAGCGTGGCTTCCCAATAGAGTAGCAGGAAAGGCGCTCCCCAGCCCAGGCCTGAGGGACGGTGCCTCCCCCAGGAGCGCACCTACATCCCCGAGGGACAGCGCTTCTCCACCCAGAGAACTCTGCCGGCCTACTGCTTCTCCGAGACCATCGGGGCCCCGACGGACAAGGAAAACGCCCAGAAGAAGTCTGTGAGTGGCCACCCGGGCTCCTGGGAGGCAGTTCTCCCTTCCCTCCCCGCAGCCCTGCCCACGCCCAGGCCCGGGGTCACCTTCCCTCCCAGGCGAGGCTGTGGGAGGCCCGAGCAGAGGCCACCCTGGCTGTGCACCCACCTCCGGGTCTCTTCCCGCAGGACATGGAGCTGCTGCACTTCTCGCTGCTGCTTATCCAGTCGTGGCTGGGCCCCATGCAGTTCCTCAGCAGGGCCTTCCCCAACAGCCTGGTGTTCGGCACCTCGGACCGCGTGTATGAGAAGCTCAAGGATCTGGAGGAGGGCATTCAGGTGCTGATGCAGGTAAGGACGGCCCCGGGGCCGCGGCCACCGCCCGCTGGCCAGCTAAGGGCTGGGGGTGGCTGCAGAGCGGGCGGTGGGGGCGACGCTGCTGCTCTTTTACCAGTCAGGCCTGACGCAGGAGGAGGAAGACTCTTACTCCTTGTTTCCCCATTTGAGTCCTCCGGGCGGTCCTCTAGGCCCCTGAAGCGAGAGGGGAAGGCGGATGGGAGCGGGCGGCAGGGCTCCCAGGAACTCGGCCTCTGCTGTCCTTCCTCCCCATTACAGGAGCTGGAAGACGGCAGCCCCCGGGCCGGGCAGATCTTCAAGCAAACCTACGACAAGTTTGACACCAACTTACGCGGCAGTGACTCGCTGCTCAAGACCTACGAGCTGCTCTCCTGCTTCCGGAAGGACATGCACAAGACTGAGACCTACCTGCGGGTCATGAAGTGTCGCCGCTTCTCGGAAAACAGCTGTGCCTTCTAGTTGCACACTGTCTGTGTCACCCACCCAGCACCTCCCCTTACCCTGCAAAGTGCCACCCCAGGGCCCACTGTCCTTGTCCTAATAAAACTAAGTTGCATCATATTATCCGACCAGGTGTCTTTCTGCTATGTTGTTTTTTGTTGTTGTTGTTGTTTATTGGTTTTTCTCCAGTACCGGGAACCGAACTCACAACCTTGCGCTTGCCAGGCAGGCGCTTTGCCGCTGAGCTAAATCCCCAGCCCCTGTCTTTCTGCTATGGACTGGAGGTGGGGGGCAGTGTGGGAGGAGGGGTGGACTGGGCAGACAGCCTGCGGGGATCCTGTGGGGTCTATGCGGAACTGGGCGACTGAGATAGTGGTCCTGGCTCTTCTAGTGGCAGAAAAAAGCCAACACATTGCTGCTCCATCACCCTACTTCCCCCACCTGTGGGTGTCCCAGTTCTCTGGGTAGTCACTGGTTCGCAAGGTCATAAAGTACTTGGAAGCCTCTGTCCCTCTCCCACCTGCACCAGCAAGGCCAAACTCAGCTCCCTCAGAGCGGGAAGAAATGAAAACAAGACAGGCTATTAAGCGCAGAAACAAAACGCCCCCTCCCCCGTGAGAAAATATGAGGGAAATCACAGAATTATTTCTGTGCGTAAAATTTTAAGCTAAATAGTCATTAGGTCCAGCTACCCGTAGGAAATGAGATGCGTGCACAAAATGAACAAAACCAGCGTGTTTGGCATCTGAATTGGGCAAAGGAAGTGGAAGAGAAGATCTAAATTGGGGGTTGCAAATCCAAAGCCAAGAAGTGCCAAGTCGATCAATACCTAAGCGATGGGGGCTGCGCGGGAGGGGTAATGAGCGACTGACTCCCAGCCTCCTCCCAACGGGGCCACGCAGAGGATGGGGCCCGCAGAGGGGCGTCTCGCCTGCAGCAAGAAGGCTGCCAGACCTTCTGATTCTTCGAGGCCACTGGACCTCCCGAGGTTTTATTCATTTATTTATTTATTTGTTTATTTTGCAAAATCTAATTTTTTTAAACATTGGCCACGAATACATATTGAAAACATTTTAAGGGCAAGCAATGAACCCTAACACATCTGGTTTTCAAGCTGGCAAGGACCAGCTTTGTCCTAAGGGCAGCGGATTAGGATAACTCGACATAAGCAAAGAATCAGAAAGACTTGGCTATTTGGTACCGGGGATCGAACTCAGGACCTTATGCTTGCCAGGCGGGAGCTTATGCTGCTGAGCAGGCTTCGCTATTTGTAATTTGCGTTCTTGAACAAATTACTTAACACCCTGAGATGATAAGATACAGCCTTGCAAGTTTATACGAGGATTAAATGAAATTTAATCCTGGCCCCTGCGGTAGTGTTTTTCTGATTCCACACAATATCTTCAATTCACTGTAACAAGACAGCCGTTTCTGAATTCCTTCCACAAGCACTCGCAAAATATGCACAGCGAGCTTTGTCCCTCTGTACACATCTGAGAGCAGAACTGACACCTTCCCCTTTCTTCAAAGTCCTCAGAAAGACAGGATCTGGGCTTCTGGGTGAGGCAAACTCGCATTTGCCTTAGAGCTTTAATTTGGAAGTTTTGCTGGCGGGTAGCAGAGTGGTAGAACCCTTGCCTAGCATGTGTGAAGCTCTGGGTTTGATTCCCCAGCCCTGAAAAAAATTAAATGAAACTAAATTAAAATACAGAAGGTGCTGACACGGCTGAGAAATGCTGAATGATATTAGCAATTATACCAGCTGGGCCCAGTTGGCAGAAAGCTGTCCCAGTTTTTCCACCAAAAACGTAGTGTCCAAGGATCCCCTAAACTCAGTACAAACTGAGCTATCAAGATGGGTCATCTGAGCCGGGTATGGTGGCACACACCTGTAATCCCAGCACTCTGGAGGCCGAGGCAGGAAGATCACTGAGATTTCACGGCCAGCCTGAACTACATAGCAAGAGCCTGTCTCAAAAATAAATAAATAAACTAACAAAATTTGAAATGGCTGCGGATGTAGCTCACTGTGAAGGTCCTGGGTTCATCCCCCAGGACTGAAAAAAAAGAAATCATCTAACTAGCACTTCTAAATCCTAAGAAACCAAAAAGGAGAAAGGAAGAAAGACAAGACTAGCAAGTAGGAAGAAAGAACACAATGGGTCAGGCAGGGTGGCACACGCCTATAATCCCAGCGCTCAGGAGGCTGAGACAGGATCGCCATGACCCTGAGATCAGCCTGGGTGGTGAAACCTGTGAAACCCAAAGTGAAACCCTGTCCCAAAAAACAAATGAAAACAAAAACAAACACAAAAAAAGAACATAATGGAAAAAATAAAATTGTTCATGATGGTCCTCAAGAGTTGCCATATATTTCTAACTCTTGCCTTGAACTTATTATCATTATAAGTAAGGGTGTGCTGCCACTGGGATTATTAGCGTGATAATAAAAACTGTCACTTTTGGACATACGTATCCAGTACCATGTTAATGTTTTCCCAGTACCATGTCATTTTTCCTAAGGTAATTTCATCAGGAAAATATTATTATTACCTCCTTAGTAAGAAACACCATTGGAAGGGGCTGGGGATTTAGCTCAGCA